GGTTAGGGCGCCTTGATCGTGTGCCAGATAGGTAATGTGTATAATTAGAATAGGTCAGCGGTGGGGTATCTTTTGTTTATTTCTTTTCTTTGGTTCGTCCAGCTCTCCCCTTTCTCTCTGAAAATTATTATTGTTTATCATTCACATTATTACCGTGGCAAAAATAAAAGCTTAATTTGTACGGTATTAGGAATTTGTGTCCTTTTCTCGCACCACGACTCCATACCTCCTTTGCTGGCATTTGTGGGCCCGAGCGGTGGGTTATCAGGTTCCCCTCCCTTTTGGGGGCTGGAACGTAACACAGGGTTATTCTGGATACTCCATCTGGCGCGTGCAATGATGACGCAGTGAATAGTGACAATTCTCTCTGACCAATCAGCAGTCGGCATTGTTTTCACGACACATTTTAGTATCGCCTTAGCTCGCCTCAGCTCACTCAGAACCTCGCCAGAGGTGATACAAAAAAAAGTACCCAAAAGCAGGTACAGGTACAACTTTTACACAGTGGAAAACCAAACAAAGGCGAGCCGAGGCGAGTCGAGTCGAGCTGGTACTGTGTAGTGGAAAAGCGCCATTAGTAGACTGTGTGCTCAATTTCTTCTAACAATTTCTTCCCCAACAGATATTCTACTAAACCTTGCAAGTACATGCCAACTTAACCCTAAACCAAACCTAACAGTATAATTATAATGAGAGTTAGTTGATATGTAGTTGCAAAGTTAGTTGAATATCGAAAGTTGCGGTCAACTTCAGAGCAACAGTTAAATATGTTAGTACTCAGAACCTCTTGAGGTTGGTTAATGCAAAAACTCAAGGACTGTATGTACAGCTGCACTATGCACTTGCAATAAATTGTGAATTCTGTATAGGTTTAATGGAAGGTGTATTACAAAGTGCAAAGCCCAAAGGGGCAGTGAGTGCATGAGGACACCCGTCCTCACTCACTCCAAGGTTGGATCGGGGGGTATTCATTGTGGTCCACTCAGGGTTTGTTCCCTTCAACAGCTTTGATCCGCAAGTGTTTAATTACTCAATAGTGCTGATGAAGTCATTGAGGCGCTCAATCTCCGTCCTTCCTATCAGACATACAGGGGCTTTATTGAGTTTCCCTCACACTCTCCCCATCTACAGTTGCTGAATTGGTAAAGACAGTGTGGTGAGGTAAGTCACACCCATATAACACATAACTCTCCACCCGTTCCTGTCTCTTATTCAACACCAAGAGGTGACACTTTCAGGTCATAAGATTGAGGGATGCTCTCTCTCTCTTTCTCTCTCTCCCGCTTCCTCTGAAGTCTCCTGCTGTCAGTTCACAGCTTTCAGAAGTAGAGAGAGATAGACCTGCTTCAATCCTCTGGCAAACAAGGCTGGCCATCAATCATTGCTGCTCTCACCTCATGGCTCTTTCTCAACATGCCTCAGGTTAAATCTCCACCACTGTTCCTACTCAGCTCCTACTGTCCTAAGATGAATTAAGAGCTTTATTGGGAATCACACTGGAATACGAAAAATAATGTAAAATAATCAAACATATCCCCCAGTTTTTTTGGAAACATATTGAGGAAAAAAACACATGACATTTAAATAAAAGCCCAGTTACGACATGTGTTGATATTTAGGAAAAGTGACATGCTTTACTGGGTGGTGGTACTACCTTTTGCAGACATTTGTTTTTTTAAAGTACAGATTATGATCAAAAATACATTTTGCTCAATCTTTGCCACTTAGACTTAATAACTTGATTATTTAAACAATGGTAGATTGTTGTAATTCTTAACAGGACGGACGGTAATAAACAGCTAAAGTTAAAGTCATTGTTATGGATTGAGAGTTATCGTACATTAGGTTGTCAACTTGAAAATAATTTAGATTTTTTTAACCATCTTTGTTAAAAATGTTGATATTACCAGCCAGATAAAACAACTAACTCCACAAAACCCCACAAAAGTCATACAATCCATTGCTAACACTTACTCTTTGTGCTGTTGTTTTCCCTCCAAAAATGATGTCACTTCCTGGAGGATGATATCATTGAGGAAGTGGCATAAATGTATTTAAGGGATACAAACATATATCAGAATGAAAAGGATACGAGGGAAAACATGTAAATTGGTTCGATTACAATACTCCCAAGAATTGTTTTATTTTGTTGTTAAATTGTAGAAAAAAAAAAAAATATATATATATATATATATCTTATAATTAATGTGACTTCTATCATTTACATCTTGATCAAGTTTTGTGTTTACTATTTTGTATCAGTTGATATTTATATAATTTTATTATATTACAGCTCATATGATGGGGACATGAAAATATCCTGCATAGCAGTCATGTTAATGTATTGAAGTCTAATGATTTGTGTGCATTTAAAGTTGGAAGCAAAATGATCAAAGGAAAGGACTTTTTATAAAAGTACCACGTTTAGATATATAGAGCCAATGTCCAAAACTGTCACTTGACAAGCGCCAAAAGTAGCATAAACTTGTAAAAAATATTCAATAACACTCAATAAAATACAAATATACAAGGGAGAATAATCTATAAAGAAAATAAAACATAAAGAAAATAAAACATCTAAATGCCACTGTAATGCTATAAAATATTTTAATAAAAGTAATACAAAATACAGTTGCATGGCCATTCAGAATTTATATCCAGTACATTTTCTCACACCATTGGCAAATGTGTGGGAAAAAAGTTATATTGTTTTACCCTGTATACATCTATAAAAAATTCACTTGCTAAACAGTGTGAAAAAAAAACAATAATTTACATTTATTCTGACGAAAACCAGACAACATGAACTGTTAGGTGCATTAAGAAACTACGGTGGCCGAGACAGCTCAACGCGCTGCAACTGAAGCAAACACATGCAAATAGAAAAAAAATGCATGCAAATAGAAAAAAAAACGCGTGCAAATAGAAAAAAACACATGCAAATAGAAAAAAAAACACCTGCAAATTAAAAAAAACATCATCATCATCAGTTTCACAACACACGTGTGCTCCAAATACAGAAACGCGCTTATTGGGACGTGCTTATTGCTCGTGAGCTTCCCTATGCCATACTCCCTTCGAAGGGCAGACGGCAGAGCCCTTGAAGTGGGACTTTGGAGGGAGCAGGGCTCTGGTGTGCCATTATGTAGCCGTGTAGAACGCACTTGATGAAGGGAGCAACGAAAGACAACGTAATTCCTCATTATTTTCACCTGGGATGTTCCCATGACAACGCAGCACGGTGTCCATCAGCTAAAGAGCTGGTCTTACAACAGAAATATAATGCTGTTAACATAACGGTTGCAAATACATTTATATTTTTACTTTACAAAAAAGCTTTTAAAATATGCGTGTATGTGTGTCTCAACTTTAAAACTTTGGACCCTACATTATCTAACATTTCTTATGAAACTTTTCTTTATGAAAATTTAAACATAACATGAAACAATTTGTACAGTGTAACTGATGAAAGATAAATATCATTCCTTCATGTTCTTCTTTATCTTTTTTATTTATTTATTTTAGTTTTCAGCTCATTGTACTTTTCTCATTTGTATTCTGATGACATTGAACATATTGTTAATACACTTTGTATATTGTATACAAGTTGTATGTCATAAAAATGTAATCTCTGTATGTTTTGCAAAAATAAATAAATACATAAAGTAGAATTTTAAGCTGTAAGCACCAGCACGTCCCAGCCGGGTTCGTCACGTATTTGGTTCCCCTGGAAACATTTCCGTTGTGCTCTGTGTTATTTGCAGCGCGTTTCTGTATTTGGAGCACATGTGTGTTGTGAAACTGATGAAGATGTTTTCTTAATTTGCGGGTGTTTTTTCTTTTTGCATGCGTTTTTTTTTTTTCTATTTGCATGCGTTTTCTTCTATTTGCATGTGTTTTCTTCAGTTGCAGCGCATTGAGCTCTCTCGGCCACCGTAAGAAACAGATAAATGACTATTTAATGCAATTATTTTTTCAACATTTACAACAGCAGTGAAAACATTTCTGTAAATATAGTTTTAGAAAAGACATGACCTGGATTTTAGCATTTAAAGCAGCTTGTAACAAATGTGTGTCCATTTAGAGAGCAATTTCCTTTGCAAAGAACTTACAAAAATGTTTTAAACAAAAGTTAATCTATGCTGAAAGTCCAAATTCAAGGGAAGCGGATATATGTAATACAGTGCAAAAATCCTATTCTCAGTGTTTTTATCTTGTTCTCCAGTAAAAACATCTAAACATCCTTAAAACAAGATAAACTTACCTGAGAAGAAAAATGACACAATATTAAGACTTTTTTTTTCAGAGGAAGTACCTTGGGTATACTGTACACTACTGTTTAAATGTTTGGGGTCGATAAGGTTTTTAATGTTTTTGAAAGAAGCCTTTTATGCTCAACAAGGCTGCATTTTTTTTATAAAAAATGCAGAAAAATAGTAATATTTTGAAATATTATAATTGAAAATAACTGTTTTCTATTTGAATATTTTAAAAAATATATATAATTCATCCCTGTGATGTCAAAACTGAATCTTCTCATCAGAGACTGAGACGGAAGAGAAGAAATTGGTAGATACAATTTTTGTTTTGTTTTTGAGCGCACAAAATGTATTCTTGTCACTTCATAACATTAAGGTTAAACCACTGTTGTCACATGGACTATTTTAACAATGTCTTTACTACCTTTCTGGGCCTTGAAAGTGGTAATAACGTTGCAGTCTATAGGGGGGTCAGAAAGCTCTCGGATTTCATCAAAAATATCTTCATTTGTGTTTCAAAGATGAACGAAGGTCTTATGGGTTTAAAACGAAATGAGGGTGAGTAATTAATGACTGAATTTTCAATTTTGGGTGAACTAAATCTTTAAGAACAGCATTTGTTCCAAGTAGAAATCGTTTTACAATTTCAGTAATGTCTTTACTTTCACTTGCATCCTTGCTGAATAAGTCTTAAGTATTGTAAATCCTACTAACCCCAAACTTTTAAATGGTTGTACATTTTCTAACTGTACTTTTAATTTCATACTTCCATTTTTTGCTGTGTCTAGCATTCTAGTCCCTATTGCAAACACTGTAATGTCTTTCAGTTGCATGAAAAGAGAAGGAATTGACGTCAGTCCCAAATCAGTGCCAACATTCTGCTTGGGAGCACCTGAGGTTCAGAAACAGACAGAGCGATGACTGATCACAGTGCATTGAGATGGATATCGCACTGAACGGCAGGCCTCCTGTCACCGCGCAGCGCCCCGAGCGCACCGAGAGAGCACTGCTGCTAAGTGTTATCAGGGCTGAAGAGGGAGGAAGGCAGGCTTCGTGACAGCACCGCGCTCCATCTCGCCCCAGCCAAACTTTGCAGAGTCAGATGGGCGGATGAATTCATCAATTATAGCACAAGGTGAGCTGAAAGCACCGCGTAAAGGTCGCCGAGCGGAGGGGGAAAAAACGGCCAGCTCAGGGCTTTTCTCTCTGCGTGCCACTCCTGAGTATATGGGAGGTCCGGCATAGCACAGAAATGGAGTTTAAATTTTAAACAGGCAGAGAGAGGGGGGCCCCAGGCCCTGTGTGAAGATTTCAGGAGATGACAGGGTGAGAGGGAGGGAAAGAGTGAGAGAAAAAGATGTCTGGACTGAATGTGGATCAGCGAGGGACATTCATAACTAATTAAACAGTCAAAGCCGACGGGGCCTCAGATGCATCACGCTGCAGGTCTCAACCGCAGTCCACCGGATCCCATTAGAGGAGGATGATAATTGCTGTGTTTGTGGTGCTTTGCTCAAGTAAGTGTGCATTATTCACGATTACATTTCTTGTCCAACGCCAACAGGTCCCTTATCACTGTCACAGCATAGTGAGGATGACTTCCTGCACTGGTCACTCCTCTTCCTCCACATAGGTTGAAGGGAACCATCCCACCTGTAATTTATAAAGCATCCGTAAACCTTCCTTAAGAGTAACAGAGCATATCTCTTCATCCTAGGTGAGCAGTTTGAGAGCTCTTGTGTGTCAGATCTGATAATGACATGTGCAGAAGAATCATTAAAAGTCATTCTGTCATCACCTCCTGTTAATCATCTCTCTCGTTAACGCACTCGAGCGTATGGAATGAAGGAAAGTGAATCTAAAATGGCTTGAGGAATGATTTAGGTGTCATGGAGAGTCAAGATCTGTGATATTGCATGGGAAATGCTGGGCTAAATTTCAATTTCACTCTCAAATTTCAATCATGTTGTCACACCTCTATATTGCTATGTCATTTGGTTGTGTCCAATTGCTTTCAGAACTGGGGTACATTCACAAAATGCTTTTACCTTTAATGTGGGTACTACATTTAACTCGGTACTACCGAAAGCTCTTTATCACGTCATAATATAGCATATGTAAATCAATGGAGCCCAAACACAGACTGTGTATGGGATTCATGAATGTATTCATTAATCTATTTCATAATTAATATGGATAAATTAGATTAAAAAATATTCCATTTAAAAATCTAAAATATATTATTATAAAAATAAAGTCATTACTCTAGTCTTCAGTGTCACGTGATCCTTCGGAAATCATTCTAATAGATGATTTGCTGATCAAGAAACAATTATTCTGATAAATGTTGAAAACAGCTCCTTAATATGTTTGAGGAAACTGGTACTTTTTTTCAGGATTCTTTGATGAATAATAAAGTTCAAAATATCAGCATTTATCTGTTAAGATTATAAATGTTTATAAATAAATTAAAACTCAAAAGTGACAGTAATGCATCTTGTTTATTATTGATTTATTTTAAAAAAATCTTACTGACCCAAAACTTTTGAACAGTAGTGTACATATAAATGATTAGAAAATAAGAATATTCTAAAAAATAGATATTAATATGAGATTGTATAATGATATTTTTTATGAAAATGTAACTATAACAGAATACAGCTACTCTCTTTACAGCAAGGTTCAATTTGTTAACATAGTTAAACACAATAGATCATAAACCATCTTGTTTATCATTCTAACAGTATTATTAATGCACAATATTAAAATTGTCTGACAACTCATCAACGGCCTATATCACGATTCTTAAAGGAGAACTCCGGCGCAAAATGAACCTCGGGTGTAATAACACATTGGTACAGACTAAATCGTTCCCTGAGATTTGTTTTCATGATAATCGAATATAAAGAGTTTTATCTCTAAAAACAGTTTAGCTTATAACGCTAGTATATTGGGCATCGAGTAAACAAAAAGAGATCGCTAGTTAATACCATTAACAAGGCTCAAATTAGCCCCACACTAACACGGCAGCATAATGAGTGTCCTTACATGCAAACCGAAGCATTGAGAACTTTGTAAGTGTATAGACAGTTTAATAAGAAGATACTTTACACAGACAGTACAGTTAGCGCATACAGAGAGGAGCCATCTTGGAAAACAATCTCGATCAATCGAACCACGAAGGTGAGCGAACAGTACGTGTAGATATTGAAGATAAGATAAATTATATTTATTTTTTTATTTTCTCTGTTGCGTTCAGTGCTTCTCTTATGCGCTCAGTGCTTTCTTCCGGAAACAACGGACCATATGAGATTCCAAGTCACAGTTCAGCTCACGTATCACCGTGTTCGTGGTTTGACTGATCGAGACTGTTTTCCAAGATGGCTCCTGTCTGTATGCGCTAACTGTACTGTCTGTGTAAAGTATCTTCTTATTAAACTGTCTATACACTTACAAAGTTCTCAATGCTTCGGTTTGCATGTAAGGACACTCATTATGCTGCCGTGTTAGTGTGGGGCTAATTTGAGCCTTGTTAGTGGTATTAACTAGCGATCTCTTTTTGCTTACTCTATGCCAATATACTAGCGTTATAAGCTAAACTGTTTTTAGAGATAAAACTCTTTACATTCGATTATCATGAAAACAAATCTCAGGGAACGATTTAGTCTGTACCAATGTGTTATTACACCCGAGGTTCATTTTGCGCCGGAGTTCTCCTTTAACTATGCTGAATATATAATTCTGTTGTTGTTCTGTAAAACTGTATTTTTTCGCTGCTATGTGCCTAGCAGTTCCCTTTTGAGCAACCATGAACTATGATTCGCAGGGAAGGGTAAGAGTTCAGTTTACATGATGTGGAAGTTCTGAGAAAAAAGCTGAAAATATGAAGCACTAGTACTAAAGCAGTTCACTAGAGGTTTTGGTGCTTTTAAAGGTGCAGTAAGTGATTTCTGAGAAACACTGTTGATATTTGAAATCAGCCCAAACAAACAGGTTCCCAGCGCTAGAAAGCTTTTCTAAAATTAATGCGTTTCCAAAGCTTTTGCCTGTTCCCAACCCTTCTTCTTCCAATTTTATTCCTCTGATCTTACACACTTGTAATGTCTCTCAGCCATCTCTCTTTCTACAGTCTTTCTTCAAAAATCTCTCTTGCTCTCTCTCTCTCTCCTCCCCCACCATGAGTGTAAACACTCCCCTACTGCTGATTGGCTACAAGTGTGTTGTGGTGCTCAGCCCAATCCACTTTCAACAGCATTTCTCAGTAAATAAAGGTGTATAAGAGTGTTTTCCCTTACCCGGCCATTGACTTCACCCTTCCACCATCCATTGGTACACTTAATATAGATATTCACCAGGTCTCCCACCTGCAGAGAGAGCTCCCGAGTATCCTTGGAGCTGAAATCATATCGTGCCAGTGCAATGCCAAGCACTCTCGGTGTCAAAACTGAGGGAGAGGGGGATGTAAGACAAAAACAAGTTGTTAAAAAAAGGACAAGAGTGAGAGACACAAATGTTTTCACAAGACATGCCAAGTAGGACAAAACGTGTGAACGTGCAACAAGATGATTGGAGATTTGGAGCAAAAACGGGGCACAAATGGCGTTGCATAATTCTCAGACATTTTCACACACAAAAAGAGCTGAAGCAAACACAGGGAGAAAAGAGTGAGATGGCTGGAGGGGGAAATGAATAAGACAGGTGGCTGATAGCTGTACCTGACCAGAAGGGTGAGGGGGAGGGAGGAACAAAACTGTAGCTGGTGGGACTCAAAACGAAAAGCCCACACAGCACTGGAGCTTAGAATCCAAGCCGAAGCAGAGAAAATAAGAACACAAAAACCCAGAGATCTTAACGGAGACATTTTCAACAAAACAAACATAAACAAGCTAATATCAAGAACTCCACACAGCACCGGGGGAATGAACACACTCCTTGAAATATGCCAGTCTTGAGAAATTTAGGAAAATGTCTCAGTATTTTATTATTTGATCCAATATTTATTATGATATTAATTTCATCATAATTGGGGAAGGAAATGCATTCCACGCTTGTTAGACTGCAAGAATGAATGTAAACATAATTTGTTTGTTTAGTAAACTCTACAGAGTAAGCTACCTTTTAATTTAGGGCTTGAAATCATTTTTTTTTATTATCTGTTTTCAGTTGTATTTTTTCTACATTTTTGTTTGATCATTTAATATAAATGTATCATCCAGAATTGTGTCTAATGAAATTAATTCATAAAACAAATATTTTATATTAATTCATATTTTTTCACAAAATAAGGTGTTGCAAAACACAACTTGTATACTGTATACATTTACACATGGATAAATATATTGGTTGTCATGTTTTAAAAAAAAATGCATTATTATTACTGTTCTTTGTATTATTAATTTGCAAGGTACATTTTACTTTTTACAAACATTTTACAAACTTTTAGTTTGTCACAAGATCTATGACAATAGCTTTTCTCAAATGAAACCGTGAAATGCTTGAGAAGTGAACCTTCATAGCAGCTCTGGAGAGTTCATGTGGACTGTCCTCAAATAGTTAGATGGCAAACACTGAAAATATCACAAGCAATACACAGCCTTTTTAGCAACACACCCGATCATCTCTAGAAGAAATAGAATATCGAAAAAATGATTGCCCAGTCCTATTTTGGACCCCATTGACTTTTATTGTATGGACAAAAAAGCACTGAGACATTTCTCAAAACGTCTACTTTCATGTTTCACAGAAGAAAGAAAGTCAAAGAGGTTTGGAAAGACATGTGAGTGAGTAAATGATCACAGAAAAGACCAAAATCTGGACTACTTCAGCCATATGGACTACTGTTATGGACTACTTACTAAACTATTGGGGCAGAGGTGGCTGCCGGGATATAAAAACAGAAGAAAAAGAGGTTTGGAATTTCATGAGCAACCCATTCCTATATTTTTCAAGATGTTGTTTTTTTCTCTAGGTGTTGTGATAGCTTTTGCCAAGTGCGTGCTCCTGGCCCTGTCACTGGTGCAGCTGTGATATCGTTCATACAGAGCGTGAGTCCTGTTACCATCTGAACACCCATCTGAGCATCCAGGACTTTCTAATATGTAAACTAGCAAACGTCAGATCCACAATATGTTTGCCTTCCTGCTTTGCATCTCCTCTGGGGGGAACGAAGCAGTAGATGATGAGCCAACTACTTTTTCCTGTGACACTGACACTCAGAAATCGTGCAGTTATTCACACGTTCGATATCTATGCAGGATTGAAACCGATGCGATATCTGTATTGCAAATAACTTTTCTCACATTAGCTTATAAAACCCAACGCTGGTATCTCCCTTTGTGTTCAACGTGTTTACCAAACACTCTGTGCCTGCAGACGTGTCAGCGCACACACGACCACTGGTCTGTTGGCACATTTGTAAGTGTTTTGGTTTGCGGCACATCAGCGAGAGCAATGTCCCAGGATGCATCAAGGGCCTGGATTTTCTGCTGCGGTTTGGGAAAGGATGCGTTACCGAGATTGGCAGTCGAATATAAACACCTCTAATAAGCAGAGGATGCTGACGAAAAAAGGACAAATAGATCAGCGAAACCCCCAATTCACAAATTCCCACAATCCCGTTCTTTATATCAACAGTGCTGTACTCGTTCGCTAAGCCTTTTTCTGCGTGACACATCTCTCTCTGTTCAATAAAGCTGACTTTCTATGTCTTCACAAGTTGCCCTTTCATTTCTCAGTGCAGGGACTGTTTTTTTCTTTCTTTCAACTGCGAGAGAGAAAATCAGCCAAGTCCCCACAGGTGAGGGGAAGCTTAGCATCCATCATGGCTTTTTCCTGTAACTCAAACCAAACTGTCATGTCGTGTCAGGGAGTTTGCCGGTACTGCTTGAGTCTTGTTTAGCAGAGTCCTCTCTCTCGCTGTGTCGCCTGAAGCAGGAGCTGCAGAGCCAGACACAAACAGCCTTTTTCCTGCTGCCAGGTGCCGAGTGTGTACGGCTCGCTTCACAGCATCAGTCTGTCTCTTTGAGGAGCCATCTTGGGCAATGAGAGCTGGAGTAAAGACGTACATTTTTCCCATGAAAACAACACGTGTGCGTGCACACTTTACATTTTCACCCAACGACCAGCATGCCAAGTGTTCAACATTTATATTTAATCAAAAGAGTCAGAGAGGTGTCAGGACATAGCTAAAAATACCTCCTGAGCGCAACCTATGCCTCCTGCCATTAAAAGAGAACCTTTCTGAAGTTCACACTGGCGGTGATTTTAATCGCCGGAGGTCGACATGGCTGCTAGTACACGTTCCTGCTGCTGGATGAAGTTACTGCGTAACTCTTTGACAAAGAAGAGAGTTCTTTCTATTGTGGCAACTAATCTAAAAACTAACTTTCTGCAAGGGAACAATTTTGTATGCTTGCATATAAATTACTAGCCAAGAAATCTAGACGCACCCTAGCTGCAGCAAATTTTATTTTGCAGCCAGGGTCTCCGTTAGCTTTCGAGCTGGAAAAACCAAACTCTAGTCAGGCCAATCACATCGTTTATAGAGTCGGCGGGCGGGCTTAACATAATGACGACAGAGTTGCGACGATTCCCTGCTACTTGAAAACAAAGAATGGCTGCTGCTGCTGGCGAACAGCGGCCTTTCGAATCGGCTTTGGCCGCGACTCTGGAGGACTTGGAGTTAAGCTTTTCTTTGAGAAAAGAACAAAGAACGGCACTTAAGTCATTCTTAAAAAAGGAAGATGTGTTCGTAGTTTTGCGAAAAGTAAAGTAAAGTAGTACTTAGAATGTTACAGTACTGCAATTTCTTTAATTAAATCTCTTTATAATTGAAAAAGTATAAATTATATATTTTTATATAATTTTTTATAGTAACTTTTCTGTACGTGTGCAAAGATTAATCATGCAGAACAGTGAAATCGCTCACAGAGCGATAACCTGAACCTGACCTCCTTGCGTGCACTCTAGTGGTCAACTGATAAGGATTTTTTGATGCCCAATGCAGATACAGAGCAGGTTGGCCGATGACCAATATACAGTAAAGCACACAAACAAACACACACACACACATATATATATCCATAAATACATGCTGATTTTTCAGCATCATTACTGAGTCACATGATCTGACAGAAATCATTGTAATATGCTAATTTGCTGCTCAATAAACATTTCTTATCCTGTATCTAATTCAAATGATCCCTATCCTGTTCTCTAAAAAGGTTTTAAAAGATGTGAAAAGATGTGAATCCTTTATCTGGAGCAAGCGCAGACCAAGGTTAAATTATCTGCACTACAACTACCAGGGTCAATGGGAGGACTGGATTTGCCTAATATCAAGCTTCACCAGTGGCCTGCACATCTAAAATATGTGTCTGATTGGGTTGCTCTTGATAAAAAAAATAAAAAAAACATATTGGAGAGTTGTGATAACCCTGTAACTGTAGCACATGAGGCACGGAGGGCTGTTTGTCATTTCGAAGCAAGAACTAAGTTGACACCTGCTCTCACACCAATTGTGAACTATCCGGACTTCCCTACAGGTACAGGTAGATCTGGGAGGTTTACATTTTGGGTGAACCAAGGTACAGTATTAGTCAGCTTATGGACTTGTTTGATAAAGAGGGTCTGATGTCTTTTGAAGAGTTAATACATCGGTATCAATTATTAAAGCAGGACTTTTTTCGTTTTTTACCGATTGAAAAACTATAGTCTGAAAGATACCTCATAATGTAATACAGTAACAGAAGTCTGTCTCCAATAAAAAAACTACTATTTCAGACAGTGAGTATGTCTGTTATACAATGTTCCTAATGCTACATCTGAGGTAAATGTAGTTCTGAATTCTAGACTTGCTTTGAGAGGGAACCTTTTGTCTCTATAAGTGAAGAGGAATGGGGAAGTATTTGGAAATATGCTAAATCTATTTTGGTATGTAATCGTGCTAAGGCTATACAGTTCAAAATTGTACATAGGATGCATATTTCACCAAAACATAGACAAGCATTTAACAATGAACCTTTCACCTCTATGCCTTAAGTGCAAAACACAAATGGATACACTCACTCACTGTCTTTGGTCATGTAATCAGTTACAAATATATTGGGCCAAGATAGTTTCTGAAATGAGTAATATCTTTGATAAGGAGTTTGTATTGGATACTTTATTTTTTTAACCTTGGTTTGCCTGATAAAGCTTTGATTTTATCAAAATAAAAAAAGACTGTATATTCTTCTTACTTTTGAAGCTAGGAAAAAACATATTACTGAGGTGGATACGTGACAACACTCCAGGTTGGCACAAGATTTTGATGGAACTAATCCCACTGGAATATTTAACTTGACTAGTTAATGGTCAGCCAGGGCAGATTTATAGTGTCTGGAAGTCCTATATCAATAATCTAGGGACTGAATTGTCAACTATTCTGCTGAAGGGTTTTCCCATTCATATGCCTCAAGTGAGTTTATAATGGTTTTGAGCTTGTAATATACTGCAGTTATATATTTAGTGTATTTATTTATTTAATTAGTTTTACTTATACTTATTTTTACCTTTATTTATTTACCTTGATTACCTTATTTTTTTATCCTTTTACCTGAAAATTAATTCTGGTCACTTAATCGCTGTCAGTGTGAACAGGGCAAAGAGACTAATGTAATGAGTTAATCTGAAGGAAATGTAGATACTAACCAGCAGTTCTGAGTCCACTACTGAGCTCCTTATACGGCATCTGCAGAGTCGTGTCCAGTGTACGGAAACCCTCTTTCAGAGAGTGCTGTTTGTAATATTCAACCAGTTCCTGGACAGAAACATCATGTTTAAAAGCTTATTATAGGGATTCTCAAAGTTTTTTGCCAGCTAAAATGAGATTTTAAGTTAATATTTAAAAAATGTAACAACACATCTGCACGTTCAAGGTTCTCTGATTTTGGTTAATGGTCAAATCCATGTAGCAGGGCTCGAAATGTACTTTTTACTTGGTAGCACTGGTGCTCCCAACTTATTGTGGTGCAGCACCACAATTTATATATATTAAAATATTCCTTTTATTTAAAAACAACACACGTTTTGTATGAAATGAATGTGGTAGCGATGCACTGATCATGATTTTTCATTGCCAATTCCATTTTGTTTTTTACAAGCAAATTGTCTAATTCTGATACCGGCTGCCGATTTTTGTCTTTGTTTAAGCAAATTTATCAGCTGTTTATTTGCTCTATAACAGGCCAAACTGGCCTTAAAAATAAATAAATTAAAAACATCTGTAGCCATTTGAAATTAGAGGCAACCACTGCATTTTAATCACGATCCAAACAAAGATGCTACACACAAATGCAGCATGAGCAGTTGTTTTGATTTAAATTAGATTGCATAATTTCAAGACTTAGAGTAAATACAGAATGGTCTGACTTTAGCTTTGTGAAATTATGTTGCATAAGACACACCTGCACAAAACAAATACAGATGGACTGAATGAAAATGCAAATTCACTCTCGGAAGACTATTCCGAAGACAGTCAGTTTCCTTCAGAGATACATTCATATAAACCCCCAGCCCAATCTAATATTTATATTTTTCTTCCTATATTACGAGCCTCACGGACAGTGATCTTGCGGTGTTTGGTATTTTCTCTGCTGTGAGTCTTCACTCTTCTCTTTCCGCCCGTGTTCAGTGTGTCCCATATCTCTGGCCTGTGTTAACATCCTGTTAACAGACTTCGTAATATTTTCACACAAATTACATTTCGGGAAATGATTGCAATGCAGTTTTTGTGCAAGTCCGGAATAGAGATTAGCTAAATTGAAACTATAAACCGGCCGCTTGAGATTGTGTGTTTGAAGAACAAACAGGCAGTTTCCGATTTTGGTCGACCAGTGCATTTATAGAAAAAAAGGTCGCACCACAACAATTATTTGCACTTTCACAAATGCTCCCAAATAAATTTTGAAGTCGCACAGATTCAATTTCGGGATCATATGCGACCAAAATGGTGGCAATTTCCAGCCTTGTGTAGGCAAAATTTTTTTTTTGTGAGATTTTCAATAGTGTAATTTTAGTGTGTATCTTAGTGGAACAGATAAAATTGCTTATAAATGCTCACAGTTAAAAGGATCAAGCAACACTTACAAAAACATCCGTTTATGGTTTTATGGATGTGTACCATGACAGTACTATGTATTCTTTGATGTACCCTGCAGTACCATGATATATGAATTGGTAATCATTCAGTACTATGGAATACATCAAAGCTTTACCATCCTTGTTACATGCTGTCACCACAGTATTTTTCTATAAGGGAAAACTTTATCATTTGAAAAGAAAATGTAACAAGGTTGCAGTAGTATTGGTGTCTCTAATGGATTAATAGCTGGACCCATGTTATTAATTATGCTAATGAAATACAGGATTATGCAGATCAGCAAATGTTCTGTTTTTACGATAAAAAAAGCTCAGGTCTCTGCAGCACGGATAACGACATTGAATTATAGCACCCTACATATGTATTCATATGGTTATGATAAATAGAGCAAATGCTGATGAAGACCATTGCTTCTGTGCAACTCAAACCCACTTACTAATACAGTCTTGAACGTCCTGCTTTCAGCAATGTAGAAGAGGCCCTCCTTAGTGAGGATCTTAATGTGCTTCACATCGTTGTTGTACCTGCAGATGGCAGAGAATCATTGTAACCATTCCAGGATTGTCAGTACTTCCACTTCCACTTTATCTCAAAGGAGTTTTCCCTGGGAATGGGCTGATAAACAAAAGTTAAGCCAAGACATATCTTTTTATTTATGGAGCACATTAAAAACAAGTGCATACTAAAATGCTTTAAATGTGCAATTAAATCACTTTTAACACCTAAGATAGGAAAGTTCACCCAAAAAAGGACATGAGGGTGAGTAAATCATTTTCATTTTTGGTCGAACTATCCCTTTAATTCTGAATCTAAAGATGTCATGAGCAGGAGAAGATGTAATGTCCAGTGGCATGTTATTCCATGACCTTGGACCAGCTATAGAAAAAACACAATCCCTTTAAAGTTTAAATGTGAGCTTCCTATAACATAAGGATGTGGAATTGTTCTGTCAGTCTCTGACCGCAGGTCAACACACCCACAGGACCTAAAGCCGCACATAAAGAGGACAACATGTTTTGACAGAGAACCTGTGATTGGTTTAAGCATGAGACAAGCAACTATAAAATGTTCTGAGGTAATAAAGCCCACACTGTGCATGTAGTGTGATAACTCACACTGAGCACCACATCCATGCTACACAATGAGCTGTATGCAAATTTGTGATGCATTATGTATTGGGTTGCATCGAGGGAAATGCATGAAGAAAGCTAAGCTTTGCATGCAAAAGGATGATCGTGCAAGAACCTCACCGACCATCCGTCACGCCAATTTTATATGCAATAAAAACACGCTTGAACGATCAAATAAACAGTATGAAGTGGTATAATAGCTAGACGTACTTGATGCTGATGGCGTACTCTCTGCTCTCCCGGCTCCTGTATCGCACCAGGTAGGTGCTGTTCTCTCTCTCCATGAGCTCAGACTCTGCGTGGTGTCTCTCTATGGGCCCAGCAAACCTGCTCGCACAAGCCAACGTGCATATGGCTCAGCACATGTAGTCATGCAGTGTGTGATGTGGATATTGGAGTAAATGTGGTTAAACATTTAGACTTACCAGGGTTGGGCTGAGTAGTCGACTGTCCTGGGCACCTGAGTATGGGACACATTACAAACAAAGTCATGCATACACTACCAATTATACCCATTTATGGTGACAAATTAGTTTTGTTGACAAATATAATTTATTAGTATTATTATTACTTTTATATATTTTTGAATGAATGAGTTTGACTGGATAGTGAATCAATCAATCAATCAATCAATCTATCTATCTATCTATCTATCTATCTATCTATCTATCTATCTATCTATCTATCTATCTATCTATCTATCTATCTATCTATCTATCTATCTATCTATCTATCTATCTATCTATCTATCTATCTATCTATCTATCTATCTATCTTGTTCTTGTCGGTCAGGAAATTATTGTATTTATAATATTAAGTGAAACTCTCCATATATTCAGAGTTTCATTCCATATATTCAGTTTCATTCCATATATTCAGAGTTTTGGTGGGTTTTTTTTTATCAATGTTGAAAACAGTTGTGCTGCTTAATTTTTTGTTGTTGTTGAAATCGTGACACATTTTTTTCCTCAGGATTTTTTGATGACAAAAAAGTTCAAAATAACAGCATTTATTTGAAAAAGAAATCCTTTGGAACTATGTAGAAAAAAAAGAATTAATTAAAAAAACTGATAAAAAATACAAACCAACAGCATTAAAATGATTGTGCAAGTCATCCAAATACTTACACATGGGCAGGGCTTGACTGCATCACTTGGAAAGAAGCCGGTCTCTTGAGTTGTCAGGATTTTGCCCTGCCAGGAAGTGTGGTTGTTAATTGCATTATATTTGCCTTGAGGCGATGCTCGCCCCTCCCTTTTGCTTTAATAAATCTAAGACAATTAGCTCACAACAAGCAGTGAATCTCATTTAGAGCCACAGTTAATTACTGTTCAGCCCCTACCCACGGTTAAACTCCGTTACGCATCAGAATGAAAGCATCACCTAATGCTGAATAATCATACAGCTTCCACAGCAGAACATCGTGAATCATGACACTCGCCAATAAGCCATTGTTTGATATTGCTGCTCCGAGCATATTTGGATTTATGAATTACATTAGACTCGAGTTTCATATTATGTCCTCACGCAAAAGATTGTATTGAGCAATCGCAGGCCGGATGCCAGTTTTAAAATAGGCTCATTTCTTGCATGGCTTCAACCACAATTATCTGTATATTTTTGGATAAAAACAGACAATCCCCCCCCCCCCCCCAACTCAGTATGAAACAACAGCTGGGAGGTTATAATGCACTGTGAACGTGGCGGAACCAGGTGCCAAAGTTTAGCAGCCTATGACTGATTGTGAGTTTGGCTGAAGGTTTGACTGAGGGTGTAATGAGGATCTTCTCAAACAACTATACTGAAAAAATATATACTTTTCTTTCCAGGCTCCCTTTTAAGATCATCTCTAACTAGTATGAAATGAATTTCAGAAAAATGCACCTCTACCACAAATTAAATTGGAGTCCCAAACTGGAACTGTATTCATGATTTATTTGGCTTAATAATGTTTCGCCGTAGCTTTTGAAAGCCCTTTATATTTGTTATGCCACAGATAAGCGTATGATAAAGATTAAACTTATTACCCCATTAGAGTAAACAGTTGGCAGCCTAAAGGATCAAATTAAATTACAGTGATCGATTGCACTGTTCTGGCAACGGGACAGAGATAATTGTCTTCCAGTAACATGGGAGATGGATGCTTAGTGCTCTGTAATTCCATTCTTTGGTGTCATGGGACCCTGAAGATTTAGTAGCCTTATTAAGAGTTAAGTGTCGTTTCACACAAGATAAAATAAACCAGTGATGTGCATTATCATTCAATAGTACCGCTTCTCGCTCCCCTCTATGACCTGCCAAGTGCGTGAAGAACCACGGCTGACACGCACGTCTAGCCACTGCCTGTCGCAGTCTGTTGGCTCGGTGAATCTCTTGGCATCCATTTTTGACCTGTAGGTGTTTTTTTTAACCTCTGTGTGCTATCAGGCAGAAATAGCCCAGCATAAAGCAAGGGAAATCTCGCTAAGTGTCTATTCCCTGCCGAGCTGTTTGAGTCGCGTCGGCCAGATTGGAGCAACACCAGGAGGAAGATGAGGTTTTAGTGCCACCATAAACCATAGAGGAAAAAGAGCCACAACAGCCCGGCCTGAGCCAGAAATAAATAACACAGGAACAGTCTGTCTGTGACAATAAGCTTGAGACAAAACTGCAATGCTGAAACATGCCTGAACAAAGACTGTGCTCCGCAGTCACTATATCTGACGGCTCATTTAGGTATCAGTGCATATTACGAAAGCAATGCGAAAAAGTATTGTTTTCAGTGACTATTCAATGGAACATTTGTATGTTATACTAAAGTTGTGTTGCAGTAGGTTGAGTCAGGGTTATTATAGTTTAAAAAGAGGGGGAAAAAAACTAAAACCATAAAACCATTCATTTAAATAAAATGGAAGTTGAAATAAAATATACAAAAACCTAAACATATTTTATTTCAGCTAGTAGCCAAAGCAACATTTCTCATTTTCCTTTAGTTTAACTTGATGTACTTGAATAACTAATACTGTAATAAAAAATGTATAAAAACTATATAGACATATTTTTAAAATATAAAAACTAATGTCAAAAACATTTTAACTTTAAATCAAATAAAAATTAAACTATATACAAATAAAAACGAATTCAAAATATTTATAAAAACTATAATAGTATATAATCTCATCCATCCATCTTCCGCTTATCCAGGGCCGGGTCGGGGGGGAGCAGTCTAAGCAGAGATTCCCCGACTTCCCTCTCCCTAGACACTTCCTCCAGCTCTTCTGGGAGAATACCGGGGCGTCCCCAGGCCAGCCGGGAGACATTATCCCTCCAGCGTGGAAGGCATTCAGGAGGCATCCGGAACAGATGCCCGAGCCACCTCAGCTGGCTCCTCTCGATGTGGAGGAGCAGCGGCTCTACACTGAGCTCCTCCCGAGTGACCGAGCTTCTCACCCTATCTCTAAGGGAGCACCCAGCCACCCTGTGGAGAAAGCTCATTTCGGCCGCCTGTATCCGGGATCTTGTCCTTTCGGTCATGACCCAAAGCTCATGACCATAGGTGAGAGTAGTAACGTAGATCGTCCGGTAAATCGAGAGCTTCGCTTTGCAGCTCAGCTCCTTCTTCACCACGACGGACCGGTACATCGACCCGTTACTGCAGAAGCTGCACCGATCCGTCTGTCAATCTCCCGTTCCATCCTTCCCTCACTCGTGAACAAGACCCCAAGATACTTGAACTCCTCCATTTGAGGCAGGAACTCTCCACCAACCTGAAGCGGGCAAGCCACCCTTTTCTGACTGAGAACCATGGCCTCGGACTTGGGGGTGCTGATTCTCAGCCCAGCCGCTTCACACTCGGCTGCTAATAGTATCTCAATGATACTAAAATATCTGCATTGAGTACAGATGTGTTTGTATTTAGAGTAGCATATTAGATACTCAACAAGTTTTCTCAATAATAATTAAATATTACAATATTTAAAACACTTCATATAAGTGCTGTGAGAGCAGAGTAATATTAATTAATTAGTTAATTTAACAAAATAATTAATAATTGATTATTTGTGAAGTCGTTTGTTTTTTATAATTAACCTAAATGGGCCGGTGACAGCCCATTGTCTATGGAAATACTGGTTACTGCATTTATTATTTGGTTGGAATGTCACAAGACATATCTGTATAAAAGTTCACGTGCGCCATGTTGTGATGTTGTGATCAAGCTTCAGGGTCCCATGACACCACAGAACACAATTCAGCTATTAGGTTTTTAAATCCTGCAGTACTTTATCTCACCTGCCACCAGGAGCTGTGAGGATCAGCAGAGATGACCTCTATGACATCACCAATCTGAGCATTCAGCGGCGGCCCACCCTGAGGACTAGGGACCCCAAAATAATCTCTGATGACCAGCATTTTTGGCAAACCTGTAAAAAAATAAAATGAACATAAAATCAAAATTGGCCCTATACCTAAACCAGGTTTCTGGTCTTATTTTGCATGCTTCATTTGTGTAGATAATTCCAAAGAAAAGATTTTTGATCTCTGACTCTTCTGAAAAGTCTTTTTTGCTAATATCACCAACCCCTTTTATTTTTCAACCACCTCACGCTGGTACTTAACGCCCACTTTCAATCAATTCCCAATGGAAACAATCAAGTCCTAACCATTCTCTCTTTGAATATTTTAGATTGCATACATCAAATGGCTAGCGAATCAATTTACATTAACTACAGTAAAATGACAAATGTGTAGGTTACTAATGTAACCCCATGTTCCCTGAAGGAGGAAACAGAGAAGTTATTTCAGAAATGAAATGACGAATTGGGATCTCGCCTGAGAGCCCAATCACCTTCGAGTGGTAACAAAACAAGCCAATGGACATTGGCGAGTAAGATTTGTATCGCGAACCCCTCCCAGGGCCACGGGTATATAAGGAAGTGTGCAGCTCTTACTCATTAAGTTTGTGCTGAGGAGCCAAGCCAGTGCCTGGTCACTCAGAGGTGGACACAGGGATTGTGGCGACGAGGCGTAATGTCTCTGTTCTCTCATTCAGGAATCGGGGGTTACATTTGTAACCTAGACGTTACCTATCAGTCAGTCACATTCAACGTTATGTCAGAACTAAACTGACGAATTGGGATCCCTAAGAAAAACACCACAATCGCTGAGCCTTCCATCGCCTTGTGTAAGCACCACAAGCATCTTCACAGTACAGAGACTAGCGACATACAGCGACAAAGTCGCTGGCAGTGTGAATGGGGCTTCAGGCGAGATCCCAATTCAGCAGTTCAGTTCTCACGTAACGTCGAACGTGACTGACTGATAGGGAACTATGAAAAAGGATGAGTTACGCGTTAAATTAAATTTATAAAACAGAGAGAAATAAGGCAAAATATGCCTGAATGTACATTTCTCCCCAAAGACAAAAAACAAACAACAACAAAAAGGCAGAAAAATAGCCCCCGAAGCAGTTAAGAAAAGTGTTTACCAATTTGCGTATGATACACTTATTAATAAATGCTTAGTGGCCACTTATAAACAGTTTATGGAAATTAATTTCACATCAAGCAACACAGCCACTGATTCTGCTCCTATACAGCACTGTGCTGGAGCTCAGTGGATGGTCCTTCCAACGCAAAGCAAATGTCCAATTTTCTCATTCACACAGGACAAATAAAGTGACGCATAGCAGCAATTATTGTTTACACAATCCCATCCACTAAATCAGAGGCAGTCGCACTAACCAATGACAGAGAAGTGTATGGTGGTTAATAAACTGGGGAGTTATGTTCTGTTTTGGTCATGTTTCTTTGTGTTTTGATTCTGCCTTCCTTGTCAGCTAGTTTGACCCAGTTTCTCAGTTCGTTTGATTAGTCGTTAAGTTCACATGTCATCTCATTAAATAGCTCATTAGTTCTCTTTATTTGCTCCATGTATTTATACCCTGTTCTCCTTCATACCCTGTCCGTTCTCGTCAGGACTATGTTGTGTTAGTTTGGTGTTATCTCCCTTATCTCCTGAGCTTTTGTCATTAAAGACATCTTCACTGTGCGATTCATACCAACAACCAACCCATGACAGGCCTGCAGCCTTAGAGAGAGGCTGGAGGGTTCTTCTAGCATAAAATAGCTCCTTAGTATCCAGTCTATAAACTTGTTGTTTTTAATACTGCCAAGTACCCGCGTCTTAAAGCAGACCGTAAAAAAAAAACAGTTGTTTTACATGTATTGGAGAGTTTTATGGAGATCTAAGCCACTAGAATGAACTGACTGATGATTTTGGTTACTAAACTAAGGTTCTTGCCTTCACTTTCATATTTAAAAGCCAAATTTGTGAGGCTTTTTCAAATAATGAATTCAGTTCAATTAAAGTGCCCCTATTATGGTTTTCTGAATATTCCCTTTCACGCAGTGTGTAATATAGCTGTTTGAGTAAGTAAACATTCTACAAAGTTGTAAAGTCGAAAGTGCACGATAAATAAACGTATTGTCTCTCGAAAGAAAGAATCGACTCTGAAACGCCAATATGAGTCGTTTGTGTTTCGAATCCTACTGTGGGATGGTTCTACGTCACTAAAAAAGACATTCGTATAATGCCCGCCTATGTTGTACGTTGTCCGCCCGCGAACAACTTGACCAGCCCACAACACGTCATTTTACTGACGACTGCTTCTCAAATCTCCGAGTTCAATGTTAAATCAGTCATTCAAGTTAGCCCAGGGCTAATGTATGCACCGTTATTGATACAGTTAATGCAGTTCCCGTATGTGCACCACAATAAATTAGAAATATACAGACACGTCGATTTGTTGATGGATGTACACTTGTTAATGCTGATAGTGAGGAATTACGATTGCAACATCTCATATTGTACCTCAAAATGAGTAGTGTATTACTGAGTATCACTCAAGTCGTCCTTGCAATGGAGGTTCGGGTTGAATAATTAGTTCTTCCAATATTTCGTCATCCGACTTGCACTCTGATTGATATGGTAAAATCGGTGTCATCATTACTGTCTTTACAATGTGTACAAGCGCTGAGGACTGAGGAAGCCTCCTGAGCTGAAGTTCAGTTATGGTAATGTGCCTTATGACTTACCGCTGTAAGCAGTAAACAAATCACAACAGATTGAGCCATCTGGCCAATCAGAGCAGTATAAGCTCACGGAAAGGAGGGATTTAGAGAGAATGATTCATCCAACGAGTCGATTGAGATTCATTGAACAATGTGGTGATGTCCACTGTATATTATGAGAAAATGAAAGTGTTTTTTGACCTTTGATGCATGTGAACCTGTTGTAGGAGACCTCCAAAACAAAATTAGGAAACTTTAAAATAGCATAATAGAGGTACTTTAAATATGACCATTATATGTATGCATGTGTGTATGTACAGTAAATGTATATTCACTACTATTCAAAAGAATGGGGTAAGATTTTTTTAATGTTTTTCAAGTCTCTAATGCTCACCAAGGCTGTATTTATTTAATTAAAACACAGAGTAAAAACATAATATTGTGAAATATTATTACAATTTTTGTATATTTTAAAATAAAATGTATTCCTCTGATGGCTAGGCTGAATTTCAGCAGACATTACTACATGACATCATACTCTATTTAAGCTGAGGTGTTTTGTATCATGAACAATAAGATTGCAGCAGCAATATAACTAAGGTGTAATGAGACCACTACTGACTGTCAGACACGCAGAGGAGTTTTCCTGCCATTACAGCCCATTGAATTGACCCTGACAGCTCTGACTGGTTCTCGGCGGCCCTTGCCTGAAGGTAACTAAAAGGAAACACATATTTGACATCCCAGGTGTTTTATATGGTATTCACCGGGAGTGTCAAATTTGTGACAAAATTCTTAAAACCACAACCGGCAATACAAGTACCGGCAATTCTCAAAGAGAAAACTGTGGCAGTTAGTGATCCTAAAACAACTAATCAATGTAAGAATTAAGAGAATTTCCCATGTGTTCTTTGTCAACTTATAACTTGACTTGTTATCTTTAACGTATCAACGGCCTGAACCAAGGAGACGTTCCACCTGCTGAAATTGGTGTGAACATTAGACTTCCTGAAGAAAGAATCCATTTACGGATGTGTTCATATTACAACTTCTCAATAAAGCACTCAATCAGCTGTAGTTACTGATAGGTACAATGTTGTAGAAGTGAATGTTCCAATTAATACGACCAAATGTGCCAGAGCTATTTTTCTTTTCAATCCATTACAGAGAACAGTGTAGATAATGAAGATAATAAAACTGCTTCAACTGTGAGCTTCTATCACTTTAGCTGTCAGCACACTTGAGCTTATTTAAAAGTAACAAGTTGGTCAAAACACTCTGTTAAATCAGAAATTAATCATTCTAATTAAACAGCAATAAAATGAGCAGGGCAATTTTGTGCTGTTTCTATAATGCATTGTTTTTGACCACTTCCTCCCATCAACATGAGCACACCCCTTCAGCACTTTAGGATTGTTATTTAGTCCCAGAAGAGGCAAAACAGAACTACAGCAATTTTGAAAATCAGCACTTGTTTAAGCTGAGCATGAAGTTTCACCATTCTGAAAATAAAATGATGTGGCAGTGTTTTTGGAGTGAAATGAGAAGCTCTCCTGACTGTTTACAAGTAATACTTCTGAAAATGACAAAACACATAACAAGGTTGCAACACAGTTGCCAAAACATTTTACAAGAAACGTTTATTTATTATTTATATAATACATTTAATAACTCATATAATCTCTTTAGAACTTAATAATCTCATATGATTTGTGACATGGTTCTGAGAATGATCATATCTGTAAATCCTTGCAGAATATTCTGCGATGCTTTTTTATTTTTTTTGGGTGGTAAATGCTTTCAACAAAATTTACAAAACACAAAAACACGAAAGAATGTCCACATTATAATAAATGGTTTTAACTGTATATAACTGTATTTTTTTAAATTATAGTTTTAGCTATTTTTTTATTAATATACATATTATATTGTGTGATCATTCTCATTCAATAAATTATGTATTTATAATTTTTTTATATTAAAATTATTGCATTTTTTCCCACTTTTTAAAATTTAATATACAGACTTTTTTTTGCATTGATATGACCGTAAATAGACCCAAGGTAAATGGAGAGATAGCAAGGGAAAGGGATTGTGATATGTCTCAGACTTTACCAGGCTCATATAAAGCTCACAAATCTCACACACCATGCTAAACTGTTGCTCTGTGGACTCAAAAATATTTGTTCTAAAATAAATAATTTAAACAGGTGCGGGAAGGAGCTGAGTCAGACTGCCAATAGTAAACATGATGTAGTTGACAGATCCATGGACTTTTTTCCATATAGGTTAATATTTAGATGAATGTACTTTCTTTACGTTTCTCACCATTTTTGATCACTATTTTGATCACACTTCACTAGATCATTTTAAATGGTTCCGAGGTGTGACAAATTAAATTTAAAACTGGCCACATAGATCTGAATTCACAGAATTACTAAGTTCCCCGAGTTCCCAGAAGACTATATAGAGCAACAAATGTTTAAAGTAGAGTACATAAAAGACCTTTACAGTAGTCTTGAAAATGTCACAGTCTATATACAGAGAAGCATGCTGAAGACAAAGGCACCTACCTGGGTCTTCTTGTTTCCGAGGTGTTGTCTTTCTCTGTGAAATAAGAGAGGAGAGAGAATATCATTAACAGATTCTATGCAATATGAACACACTCAGCTATTATTATCTACTTTTCAACACTGGTAAAAATATTGTCAAAAGGATTTTACACACTGACACAAAGAAACGATCTAACAATGATTCTGTCATTCCTATTTAAGACAGCATTCTGTCAGTACAGTAAACATACATTTAAAGGACAATAAAACATATACTTCAGACTGCATTACACAATAATTTTCCTCTCCTTACAAATATACATAGAGTAAGATCATTTTATATCACAGTCTGGAAATGGCATGCATTATGTTTGAAGTGTACAGTATGGACAGTAAGTTTAGATTAATGTCGGTTATCTCACCTGTGCTTTTTGAACAGCAACATCTGAGATCATAATGAGAGAGAAAAAGAAAATTGTAAAGGCAGCAAAAGGCTGTACACATGCAAATTACAATTCTGTGGCATTATATTGAGTATTATAGATATCTCCAGCAAGCAAGTAGTTAAATTAGTTGCCTTATATAGTGTAAACGGAATTTTCACACAAAACACATTTTTGCTTTTTTTTAAAGCGTGAGGCACAGGGCGAATGGAATAGAAAAAAAAAACAAGGCCTAGAGATGAGGTGAACTTCTTTTTACTCTCCCAGACACCAAACAACTATCTTTATTGCTGGATATGATCCTCGCAACAACAACAAAAGAATAATAATAATAATAATAATAATAATAATAACTCTTAAACTGGAAATCTTTAGACTCACTTTGTTTCAAAACTCACTGTAGTTGAATGAAATCCTTAATGTTATACGATTGGAGGGTATATGGTTTTTTTATTCGTTTATTTGTTGGTTTTTGGGCCAAACTCACATAATTAATTTCAAACTGTGTGACAGTACTTTCTGGATTTCCTCAGTTCTGCATAATAGACCTTTATGTAAAGTTCTCTATGGCTATGCCTTTCTATGCCAATGTTAGCCCATTTGTTATGTTCTTGTTTTATTTATTTTTTATTTAGCTACTCTTGTTATTGTTTCTATATTCATACTCCTTGCTTTGTATATTATCTGAAAAACTTACTATACAAATGTTTAACTTTTAACTTGTGCACCATGTTTTTGGACTTGAGTGCAGTGGTCAAAATGTTTGCATAGAAAAATATGGAAAAGGGAAATGCAGCAGAATGCAAAAACATTGGCCCTTGAGGATGTGGTACATACCTGAATCTGATCTTTTATTCTTATAGTAAGGGAATATTCAAGCTCTGCATTACCTTCAGACTATGGCATGACAGTTACATTACAACATACACTGAAATATCTATGTTAAGTCTGAAAACCCATGAGCCTGACATGACAAAGAATCTGAAATCATCTGGGCATCAATTCCAGTATTCTGTGAACAGTGTGTGACTGTAGTCAGTGACTCTTTCTTTTCCTATTTAGTACGGGGGGTTCTGTTGAGCGTATGGGAGTTTGTGTGTTTCTCTCTCTCTCTCTCTCTCTCTCTCTCTCTCTCTCTCTCTCTCTCTCTCTCTCTCTCTCTCTCTCTCTATCTTTTTTTGTCAAATATGAAATGCCAACATGGAGAAGCTCTTTACTGACCATTACCTGCCCTTCCACAGGCTCCTAGTCTTCCCAGACAGCCCTTATGAGCCCCGTTTCCACATTTAGTACAAAGGTAGCCTTGGTTAAAAATTCCCCTGAAGAGCATGAGGATAGAAAAGGTCACATGGGTCAACGCTGACTTTTATTGATTTACATACATGTACCTTACATGACTATTACAGACCCCATTAAATCGACTTTTAGGCAATGTCAGTTAGCTTCAATAGACCTTAGTCAGGGTAGCATCATATTTAATTTTTGACAGAAATAAAAAGAAGGCTTTGAGGGACAGAAGTACAATTTGTTCAATGGATTGTACTGTTGTTTAACAACTGCTGATGAAACATCTTTCTAAAAAACTTTCAATAGATAAAAACTCCATAAACATGTCCGGGGACCTTTGTACAGTGCATGTCATTGTAAAGACTGTAAAGGGCCGTTCACACCAAGAATGATAACTATAAAGATAACTATATTAGCGTCCACAACAACGTACGTTAACTTTCTGTTTATTATAAGCGAGCACTGCTGTTTTGTCATCTACAATTTTAAATGCTCAAGCTCTTTAAAAACAGGATGGATTCTGATTGGCTGTCAATATTTTTTATCATCAGATGGAAAAGAAAATCAATCTGAAAGGGATTCTAAAGACATTGTTTCTCTCTACAATAATTTAGTAAATTATTGTTATTTACAAAAATGTTAGGCTATTTATTTAAATTTACAACAATCTTTATCATTATCAGTAGCATATCAAATTAATGAAAATGTAAATCCTTTAGTTTAAATATGATCTTGTGAATAGCCTTTATTGTTCTGTTGTTTGTTTTATGTTTGTTTTGAGAAAAGACATGACTTTCTTTTCCTCACTGGAATTCCTCCCCAACTCAATAGAGGCAATAAAAACTACATTAAAGGGGTCAACTCATGAGTTTTCATGTTTTCCTTTTTCTTTAGTGTGTTATGTAGCTGTTTTTCCACGTATAAGATCTGCAAAGTAACAAAGTGGGAGACTTTGAGCTATCTAAAAGAGAAGGAAGATCCAGACCTAGCTAAAACGCCTCGATCGAATCCTCTCTTACCGGCCTACGTCACTAGGTGGAAATATTTGCATAATGCCGCCCAAATGCTCAAAGAAAGAAGGCGTGGCTTCAGTTGTCAGTAGTGTTGTCGCCGCCATTTTGTGGAGACGCTGTGTGTTTCTATGCAAAAGCAAAAGCAGCACTTTATTTGCCCTTCCGAAAGTGGACACAATTAGGACCAGTGGTTAAGATTTACTTACAACAATGCTCCAGAACAGTACAACCCAAATGTCCGTGGGTGAGCAGCGCAGTTTCCTGATGTGAACCTGGGAGAGTACAAGACTGGCTGTGTTCCAGGCGGCGTTTGTCACGGTCAGCTGAACCGCGACTTGCGTACCGTAAATACATACGAGTATCCGATCGATCGGATTGGTCATCTGCATTTTCAGAATCTGACTCAGGCTCAAACTGATATGGTAAAACTGACGACATTATTAACTGACTTTGGAAGCTGAAGCTCCATTATGGTTAGGAGCATTACATTTCAGACACCCGCTTGAGATGTTCGGCCAATGACAACGCACTGGGTCAGCTGACCAATGAGAGCACACTACACTTTTCGGAAGGAGGGGCTTTGTAGAAATCGACGCGTTTTAGAACGATGGGGCTACAATAATGTAAAGTATGTGAAAAATAATGTGTTTTTTTTAACATTAAAACATGGTAATATTCTATTACAACAAATACACAAAATAATGATCTTCGAAAATAGCATCATATGACCCATTTAAGGCTAGGATAGCATTATGCATGTGTCGTGTGTACTTAAAGCCTGTCAATCAAAATTAGAGTGTAACCCTCAGGCTGAATAACACCAAAAGTGTGTCTGCATATTCAGCAATTAGAATATAAAGCTGTTTAATATAAACTAGCGCTAAGACAAAGAATCTGCCCTACCGAAATGTATGGTCAGGAGACGCTACTGCGAGGCATACAAAAACTTGCAGATAAGTTGGAGCTAAATTCTATAGGACAGTGGCCCTCCAGGACCAAGTTTGGACACACCCTGTCCCATTTGTCATTTTAGGTTTCAGAAGGGTGCTCGCTAGTGCCCCCTTAGCTGACGATATGCGCCTTCGATGCGGACTTTTGGAGAGGCCACGAGCTTCGCAGCAAACTTCAACCTGACTGTCAAAGCGGCAATACATCACAAAAGTGTGGACTCGGAGGAAGGGTTCCATTTAGTATAGGGCCTATCTCTCGCAGCCTTGTTTTCATCTGTGTCAAGTTTAATATGGCATCTACCCTAACTACCCCAAAACTATATTTTCGAAGATTTCTACACATTTACAATGTCACTGCAACAGAAAGCACAGAAAAGACTGTGCTCATCAAGCAATTTCATAAGATCTTTATTTTAATGATCTGACTGGTTTTATTAACTTGTTTCAACACACAATTAACAGCAGCCTCAGAAGTGTAATGACAGCTCACCTGAGAAGCATATGACAGGAGCTGCAGGTGGTAGCCCTCTCGAAGGTGTGCATTCTGAAGAGGTGAGAGTTAAACGTGGCATTCTCAGGGCGAATATTAGATCTGAAATGGAAAATGGGAAATATGGAAAAACGATGGTGCAAAGTTGACTGATTGGAAAAATGACAAACTAACCGTGTGAGTTAAACTGCACGTTTAAGTGGCCAGAGAGAACGGGGGCGGATGTTGTGGCCCGTGGGGGCAGGGACCAAAAACAGATTCTGGGCACGAATCAGAGCATTGGGGAATCTCTTTGCCCAAACAACTCTAAGATTGATTCTTGCATCAAGAGAGCGGTGTGCATGCAGCAGGTGTAATTTGTTGTTTGAATGCACCTTTCAGATCATTATACGCAGTCAACCACATGTATACGTGTGCGTACAGAAACAAATTTTTTAAAGGGTGACATATAAATCAAGAGGGAGAGGAAACATCATTTCAGACTCTCTGCACGAGGCATGGCGTATCCTCTTGAGCCTACACAAATTCCAAATCAGAACTTTCGTTAGTTTCCACCATCTTCTCTCACTATTCATTTCTTTCAGCGTAGCCCTTGTAAATACACTGTGCCATCAAATCTCGACAGCATCCCAGGTGCAGAATGTCACCATGTACTAGAGCGAAGTAAGCTGCTTGACATCAAATGGCATCGATATAATCATGCTGGGCGCTATATTGAATAGAAGATGATGTGTGCAAACATTTTCTCTCTCTCTAACATAAAAAAGCAGATGTTTGCTATTGTCATGTGCGTTATTCTATTTTGAATGCAGTTTGAAAGTGTGAAAGATCACGCAACCAATTTCAAATTTTCACATTTAAATAATTAGTAGTTGATTTAAATGTACAAATTGTCATGCACTCACTCTCAAAAAACAGTATTTAGATCTCAACAATTTAGTTACCAGCTCAATGGAGGGGAAGATTATCAGTGAATTACTTCAATTTATACTTTCATACCTTCCAGTACCTTTTGTGCTGTTTTTAAAGCGTGAAGGCTCTGGTTCTTGTTTATTGAAATTGCACAGAAAAGAGCAAAACAGTGCGTTCCACGGAACAAAGAAAGTTTGGGACAACATGAGGGTGAGTAAATGTGACAGAACTGTGATTTTTGGGACCAAAGTTTCAAACTCACATGGCCATCTCAAACTGGTCGAGCCATTTCTTCTTCAGCTCTTTTGTCTTGAACAGGAACTCAAATCCACTTTGCCCCTGCTGGTGGGTGAGGAAGAACCCGTAGCACCACTGCCAGAGGACAAGACAGAGCAAAATAACTGCTTAAAAGATACAAATGAGACTTTTATGTAAAGACCTATCTTTCAAATATGCATTTACATTAAGACCTTTTGTAATAAGTGGCACAAAAAGTTGATGTACTAGAAAATTAAAGGGTTGTGGTGTTTGGTTTAAAGCTGTGATGGGAGATGGCGGTGAGGCTTGGTGGGTGACAGGGGGAAAGGGCTCATTTTATTTTACACGGTAATAGACAGCCAGAGGCAACCTTGGGGGAGTGGACACATTCATCATCAACTATTCAGTGTATGGGAAAATGTGTATGTGTGTGTGTGCTGTGCATGAGTACATTTATGTGGCGTAGCATTTATGCAGACTACTGTCGCAGCATCCCATCCTTGCCTCTGTCCAGGCCAGTGTTGTAAAACTAAAACCATTAAATATTATTTGTAGTAATTGAAATAGAGCCGAAATAAATTAAAAGTATTAGATAAAAAACGTAAACGAAATTTAGAAGAGTTGCCTTAGCAACTATCTGAAATAAGTTGAAATACTATAACTACTCAAACTAAATAAAATAAATTGAAACTAAATAGAAATTAAAATGAACAAAACACAAAAAAAGAATACTAAAACTAAAATTAAATTGAAAACTATAAAAGTAAAAGTTAGTTCAAAATAATAATAAATACTATCAATTTATCAATAGTACTAAAATAACACTGTTCGAGTCAGACAATTTTGCCAAGTATTTCTGGCAATAGTAACTCTTATCAACAGGTTAATAACAAACCTGACAGAATGCTTAACAAATAAAGAATATGAAAATGAGCTTCCAGAGTTTACATGTTAACTTACGAAATTAAATTTGCTTAATTCAGTCAATACATTTATCTAATTTAACATGAAAAGCATAATATTCTGTTCCGTGTGTTATCGAAAGACTGAAATATGAGGGTGTGTTCAGTACACGTAAACAGAAAAAAAATCCATATCTTTCAATAAAAGGGTAAAAAAAAAAATTCTTAATAGCAAATTTATTTATAAATTAAACCCAGGTGAGACTTTAAAAGTAGTAAAAGCAGTCTTTTTTTATTTAAATATAATTAAAGCCCTTGCAATAACTATTACAAGCTTTTCTTTCCTCCAAAAATAAATGTGTTAAAGTAAATGTATACGCATTACATAATGTGATAATATTTATTAATGATGGTTATTATAAAGTTTTACTATATTCTTAAAGATTTTTATGTGGCCATGTCTGCGTGTTTTGTGGTTGAAGGAATAAGATCCATCAGTGTATTAAGTGTGTGTATGTGTCCTGAGGAGGGGCAGAAAGGCACTTCAAACAGAAAAGCCAGCAGGGCTTTTCTAGCCAAGGTCTCCTTGAGACAGATTTCACCAGACCATCTGTTCAGAAGAAACCTTCCTTTTGGTGAAAGGCATAAAAGAGAAAAAAATATCAAAAGTTTAAAAGACACGTCCGCATTATTTTTACATCTGTACGACTATTGCCAAGCCCAAAAAGAACATCATAAAACCAAAGGTAACCTGAGGTTGAGCTGTCTGCCTTCACAGACTAAAAAAAAAAAAAAAAAAAATCTAGGTACAGTTCTGCAACCTCTATATATACACAATTTAATATGGCCACTTCTGATTCACACGACATGGGATACTCTGCACAATGAACACAGACTTTAGACTGTTTACTGTCAAAAGCAACCAAGTCTTTCCACAGCAGTTGGTTCAGCATGCGGCAGCGATCCGTCACCATCCATCAACCCTCATAAAGAGCAGTAACATCTGTCTGCAACAGTATGCGATGAGCTCTCCAGCCTGATCTGTTACACTTACCATTACAGTCTAAGGGACAGCTTGATTTTTGGTGCTTTTTTTCAGCTTGAACAGGTCTGGCTGTTAGATTTTAGGCTGTTGAATGACAGTTGACTCAGAAAAACAGGCATAGTTTTCTAGTTGACAAATTTAAATGCATGAGAAAAATCAAGCATAGCGTCAGTTCTGGCAGGTCACGTTCATAGACTGTAAAAAAATATAGACGTAGTGTCCGTGACGTCACCCGTAGGTTTCTGAAGAGCATTTTTGAAGCCAAAAGTGGGCGGAGCCGGCCGTCGCCATCTTGGCACCGCGTCACTCCCGGATAACAGAAAATGGGCAAAGAGACGGGACGTGGGTGGAGCTGAGGTGCCTGGTTGCTGAAACCCCGCCCGCCTAGCTCGACGTGATCGAGTTTGATCAGGCTTAGGAGCTAATGCTATATGCTACTCGCAGTACCAAGTGTGCGACCGCACAGGGCCTCAAGCTAAAGTGACAGCTGACTTGATGATGTAAAGCCATTGTCAAGACGTTTTTCATTATTAAATGCATCATAGATAGCGGTTTAGCCATTTTTGTAATAACATAAAAAGGCGCTGCTAGTTGAAATCCGGATATTTGCGCGAAGAAGAACATTACTACTGGGCGCTGGTGTGTGACGTAACTGAAGAGACGAATTAGCATGCTCTTATTAATATTAGGATAGAGTTTTAATGCATGAAAAAAACAAATCACATTTACAATAATTATTGAAGAATTGTTTAACGTAAGAAAATTGTATTATCAAAAAAATATAAATATTTCCCTGGATCTGACTGGGTGGGCAAGCGGTCACTCGTACACCCGTAGCTCCGTCCCTGACAGCCAACTTTAAAGTTCATGTTTTTGCCCATCGAAATACTATGATAGTTAAAAGATATGGCTAAAAGTGAGACCATGTGTATCGTGATGCTGTATTATTCTGCTAAAAATGTATTATGCAGTAACTTACATTATTGCTGTGAGCTTGTACGTGTGACAGTGATTCATGCGCATACATGTCAGTCAGCGCGGCATCGCACGTCAAGTTCGTAGAGAGCTTTATTCAGTCCATTTTAAATTCTGATTCTGAACCATTCTGAATTCTGAACCATAGATATTACCAAAGAAGTTCAAGTAAATGTGCTAGAAATCAACGCTCATTCAAGGATGTGCATTTATTGCATGGACAGAGCACCGACACCTGCAGGTAAATAAGCATAGTCTATCTCTAGCCTCTATAGTTTAAATCAGAAAACTCCAAAAAGCATTGAAATTGTCAGACATCCATTAGTGCATGTTCACAGAGGAAAACAACTGGAAAAACAGCGCGGCTTGTTCTCTCGATACTCGACAACAATGGAATCCAACGGTGTGGGCAAATGTATAATGCGTGTTTTAAAATAAAATAATCCAGAAAAAAAGCACAAACACGGCAGAGATGCCAAGTTCAGCAGCTGGAATTAGCTGAGGTGACGTGACGCTGACAGACAGCAGACAAACGACTAGTAGTGACAGCAACGGCAAGCCACCTGTCACTCAAGTGGCCACGCCCTTAATTATGCAGAACTTTAAGGCTTAATTAAATTTAAACGGATTAGTTATATACACCCGTATATATATAACGTCCACTATGGTTTCTGACACCACAACAAATGGCAGTCCTTTCAAATAGCGCCTTATTTGAGGGTATGGGGGCGATTTCGGATACAGCTAGGGAGGTTGCCGCTCGGTCACGTTAGTCAAGCTCGCATCAGTGACTCTCAGCTGATCCACGTCTACCTATAGGAATACGACGCCTATCACTGTATACATATATAAGCTCCTTCAGTATTATCAGCAGCTATCGCGTTTCTCAGGAGCTAATTACCCTCCTCCATCCCCAGCTCCTCCTCTCGTCAGTCAGTATGGCATTCTGATTCCCCTTGAATCAGACTAAAATTCTCAAATTATGTTGTACATTAAAATTAATTAATGATATCTGCAATACATTCATGTTGGTTCTGTTCTGTTTACCCAAAGGGGGGTTATTGCTGCTCTCCCAGCTCTTATCCATGCTAGGCTGCTGCATCGATGCGCAGAGTTCTTGCCCAGAACAGAACCATCCCGCCAATCAAAACTGTATGCTATTATTGTCAATCGTATTTGACGATAGTGGTCCTGACAGAAATATTTAAAACATTTAAAAAAAATGCTGTTAATTGCCTATTTAAATTAAGTAACTTTAAGAAGATTTATTGCGTTACAACTTGAATAGTTCAATGAAAGTTGTTTCCTTTATTAACATGTTTTTAAATACTTTAGTATTATGTTCTCATCTCATACTTCCTATAAGAAATGTACATGGAGAGCATTTCATGAAAACAACTCTTGTATATACACACAGTATATACACTCACCTAAAGGATTATTAGGAACACCATACTAATACTGTGTTTGACCCCCTTTCGCCTTCAGAACTGCCTTAATTCTACGTGGCATTGATTCCAACAAGGTGCTGAAAGCATTCTTTAGAAATGTTGGCCCATATTGATAGGATAGCATCTTGCAGTTGATTGAGATTTGTGGGATGCACATCCAGGGCACGAAGCTCCCGTTGCACCACATCCCAAAGATGCTCTATTGGGTTGAGATCTGGTGACTGTGGGGGCCATTTTAGTACAGTGAACTCATTGTCATGTTCAAGTAACCAATTTGAAATGATTCGAGCTTTGTGACATGGTGCATTATCCTGCTGGAAGTAGCCATCAGAGGATGGGTACATGGTGGCCATAAAGGGATGGACATGGTCAGAAACAATGCTCAGGTAGGCCGTGGCATTTAAACGATGGCCAATTGGCACTAAGGGGCCTAAAGTGTGCCAAGAAAACATCCCCCACACCATTACACCCCCACCACCACCAGCCTGCACAGTGGTAACAAGGCATGATGGATCCATGTTCTCATTCTGTTTACACCAAATTCTGACTCTACCATCTGAATGTCTCAACAGAAATCGAGACTCATCAGACCAGGCAACATTTGTCCAGTCTTCAACTGTCCAATTTTGGTGAGCTCTTGCAAATTGTAGCCTCTTTTTGCTATTTGTAGTGGAGATGAGTGGTACCCGGTGGGGTCTTCTGCTGTTGTAGCCAATCCGCCTCAAGGTTGTGCGTGTTGTGGCTTCACAAATGCTTTGCTGCATACCTCGGTTTTCGCCATTTTCGCCCACAGGACTGCCGCATACTGGATGTTTTTCCCTTTTCACACCATTCTTTGTAAACCCTAGAAATGGTTGTGCGTGGAAATCCCAGTAACTGAGCAGATTGTGAAATACTCAGACCGGCCAGTCTGGCACCAACAACCATGCCACGCTCAAAATTGCTTAAATCACCTTTCTTTCCCATTCTGACATTCAGTTTGGAGTTCAGGAGATTGTCTTGACCAGGACCACACCCCTAAATGCATTTAAGCAACTGCCATGTGATTGGTTGATTAGATAATTGCATTAATGAGAAATTGAACAGGTGTTCCTAATAATCCTTTAGGTGAGTGTATTTACATACAGTGTATGTATATATAATTAAAGTATATAGCTGGAAAACTGCACTGAGAAGCAGTACTTCCTGGAGGTTGTTTGAACATTTGTTTTTTGTTTTTTAGCATTATTTACTTGATCTAAAAAAAGTTTTTTTACACCGTGTGTTCGATCTGAAATGATAAAGACCTCAACATTTCCTATGTACTGCATATAAAAATTTTACTGACTTATGCGGTTTCAAAGAGCTTACAACAGCACAACTAATTTGCATAAAAATGCACTTTGGTAAGTCACACCGTCCTTAAAATGGTTTGGATATCGCTAGAATATCCTACAGTATCCTGGAGGACATAAACACTTTTTACAGAGGAAAAAAAAATCAGCAAACACTATTCTATGACACTAACAGATCAAAAGAGATCTAAGGGAGAGTTATGTGGAGCCATGTCTGAAGAAGACAAGAACGCTCGAGTGATTTCTATTCTAGTCCGACCTCAATAAAACACTTCAGAATGGAACAATATGATGAATATGAATATGATGGTTTGATGTTTGGGTGCAGTTTTCTGAGCCTAAAACCTCCAGTTACCATGTTTCTCACTGACCTTTCTGCTGTCCTTATCAGTGGTGGGGTTATTTGTGATCTTGAATTGATTGAGGTCGATCACTTCCTTCATCTCATAGTTGTCCCCACGCCTCTTGCAGACGATCACAGCAACGTCGAACAAAAAAATATGTCTGCAGCATCGACACGTCATGACATGGCATGAAAGTAAAAACAGGAGTGGACTGCAGTAAAGGTTTTTGCCTTAAGCCTCACCTGTCCTGTCTACGTTTGTCCACATTTGACACCAAACGGACTTCACCGTCACCCTTCGGTCTTCCGTAAGAAAGTAAGCACTGATTCTGTGAAGGGAAGTTCATGAACAGACAGGAAAACAACGATGACGTAAGTAAACTATGCTTTTAAAAGCAGAGGGCATGCTTATTATGTACAACTTACCAAATTCTCTATGGATCTCTGATACTGATCAATCTCCCTCAGAGTCTCAACGTCTCTTTTCACCTCATTTACATACTGGGCTAAGTCCTGTTTAATGAAGGAAAAGAAAATGACTAGATTTATGCATATCATATATACACACAATTATATGGAAAAAACTTAAACTAATTATACAGGAAAATAAACAGAGGAAGCAAACAGTTTTGGTAACTCTTTATTTTGATCTGTCCTTCTGACACGTTACATGAACAGTATTTACTACAGAAATAGCAGTAAACTATGCTTAATTACAAGCAACTAACATTAAACCAAACCCTGACTCTAAACCTATATTAAATATATGTTGTGAGCATAAAGTGTTACCGGTAAGTGTTAAGCTTTTTTGTGGAAACTGATACATTTTTTTCATGATTCTATAATGAATATAAAGTTCAAAAGAACAGCATTTATTTAAAATAATGTGTCACTTTTGATAAATTGAATGTGTCCTTGCTAAATAAAAGTATTAATTTCTTTAAAAAAATACTACTGAGCCTAAACTTTCGAGCGGTAGTGTATATAATTTGTTAAATGAAATATGTCAGATTCTCCACTATTTCTAATAGTACGAGTTACTAATCAGATAAGTACATTTGTGACATTGATCATGTAACTCGTTCTCTGAGATGCTTTTTTTATCTCCAATCATGCTGGAGAACATGATAATTAGATTTGCTGTCATTAAAACAAAAGAGAGACAAACCATTATGAAAAATACGTTATGAAATTGATGTTCATTTTCAAACCAACTGTTCACTCAAATTGCATTGATAATACAGTATAATTAGTTATAAAAGAATTATGAAACGAATGAAAAGTGAATGAAAAATAGATCCAGTATTTATCTCTCCACAGGAAATTATTTTATTTCATCAGCGAGAATAAACATCTCCAGATATCAAAAGAGGTTTTTCAAAAGACCCCACTGGGATGACGTGGATCTCGGCTGATTTCCATTTTAAAAGGCAGCCTCTGCTCAAACACTCACTTATGAGTCTAAATTAAACACACCATTTTACAGGCAGGCAGGTAGATGAGTTCAGTCCCTGTCTGAGCAACTCTCACCGCTCCCATTCGGCTAAACCAATCAACACTGAGAGGATAATTCCAACAAATTAAATCATCGCAGGCCTCTGTTCCATTACTGCTCCTCACATAACCATTAATCTGCTTTCCACGTACTCTGCCAGTGAGACAGATATGAGGCGTTGACATCACTTCACGTATAGAACCCCATAATATCTCATGGATATTAAAACATTACCAAGAACATGCAGGAATGACCTGATGTAACATTCTAAATAGAAATCAATGCTGGTTTAAGTGTAACATCTTAAAATGAGAGTTTTGTGGCTTTTAGGCCCTGTGTCCACCAAAGCGTTTTTTCTCGCGGCTGGCGTATCTTTCCAATTGTTTTCAAAGGGAGCTCTGCGGTTTTTACCGGTCGCCGAGAGTTGAAGAATGTTCAACTTTGGGTAAAACGCAGCGCTCATCACTGTCAGCCGTCCAATCACAGTGGAGAAGGGGCGGGACAAATACCACAACAACCAACCATCACATTCTGCTTGTACAACGTCATGACAACAACAAGCATAATAACGGAACAAAATAATTTAAAACAGGAGCCAGAGCAAATACTTTACATTGTATCAATATTTTTATATAGAAACAGCACAGAAACAAACGATCTGTGAAATGAGATACTAGTAACACTTCGTATCATAGCAAGCAAAGCAAAAAAACGCTTTGGTGGACACGCAGCCTTAGTCTATGTTAGGAGCCGCACAGACAAGTCGACTAATCGAATTTAAAGCAACACCAAGGAACTTTTCCTCTGCGGTCGCCCTACAGGTTGGAAGCGGAATTGTCCATTACTGCTGTCGTACATAATTTAGCCTACCGCAGCCTACTGTCGCACGCGCACGCTCGCTGTTTATCCAGCAGCGGCTTTGGAATCAACAATGGCAGACATCCCAACCATGCAAGAAGTCATTTGCGGGCAACACGGAGACGCTATCAATATGCGGGAGACTCCCGGAACTTCTGGGAGACTTGGGATGTCTGCAATGGCCACAGACAATTTGAGGAAGTGGTGGGGGAAGTGACGTATGCCGTAAAGCAGTCAAATTTTGAAGTTCTTTTTGTGCTCCGGTTACTACCCGAAACCCAAAGTTACATAGTGCAAGTAAAAGCGATACAGACCACGTCGTGTCATTTAACCTATTGTAAGTCGATGTACCATCACAAGGGTCTTGGAAATATATTATGAAGGTTGAAAAACTACATAGTGTTACTTTAATTCTCTGCCATATAAGCCTGACATCGATTAGTCGCAGATCATGGCCTACAGAGGGCGCAACAGGATAATAAATCTTTGAAGTCCACTTTAACGCTCCGTTTCCAACAGTTAAAATGACAAATAAATGCATACTCCGAAAGCCCTCCACAAGATATGTTTGATTATACCATCTGGATGCTCAAAATTGATCGGGTGAACAAACGTTTTATACAGCTTACTGTACACATAAGTTAATCGGCGTTCTAAACCAAAGCGCTGTTGCATTGTAACGCAAACCCATACACAGAAACATTCAGTAGCGCAGAAATATATTGTCAACACTCTTCTGTGATTCAGCATTTATTTCTAAGTAACTTAAACCCACAGCTTCACTATTAGTAGAGAGATGCTGCCAGGTAGAATTAATTCACACATGCAATCACTCTCTCACTAATGCTGCATTCATACATGTAGCTAATCTTTACTGTGCTACTTTATCTGTATCTGATTTAGAACGAGCAAAAATCTGTGAGAAATATAACGACCCAAAGACAAAAGAACTGATAAAAAATAAGCTGTTATGTAGAAGCAATAGCCTCGTAGGCTGTGTCATATATGCCATAGCTGTGCACAAGGCGACCCGCGTTCGAGTCTCAGCTCAGGGTTCAGGCTTATTTGTTCATTAATGGCATCATCAGCGACTAGTTGACTCGACTTTAATCACATAAATGTTGGCTTCAAAAAATCTGAAGTCGTTCAAACTCTAGTCCATGTGTGTTAGCTTTGAGGCCATCTACAGTATATGCTAGTGTACTCCTGAACATTGACAAAACTGCACAGTACTACCTAAAGTACATACCACTGGCAACCAGCTATCAAGGAGCCATTCATGGTTCATGACAGTGACAAAACTAAATCCTACTGGCAGAGATTGAAGAAAGACTGTAGAAAGAGAGATGGCTGAGAGACATTACAAAAGAGAAAAGCTCAGAGGAATATAAAATATGAAAAAAATAAGGGTTAAGATCAGCTTTAGGACCCGCATTAATATTAGAAAAGCTTCCCAGCGCAGGAGAGACAAAAGCGGGAAGGACTGAAACCTGACACCGAGGTTGCATTGTTTCAGCTCCATTCGTGAGCAACATTGGTTTTGCTATGTTTCACAGAACCAAGATATGCTGTTGTTGTAATATTAGCTAAAGGAAAAGGACAGTTTTGAGTGTCATTGTTTGTCTGGAGCTGGTGTGCTGCTGGCGACTAGCAATCAACTCTTCCTTATATGCGTGTACTTCTGTTCTGTATGTCATTTTTTTGTTCTTCCTTATCGTTAATTTAGCATCTTGCTATGATAAAGAGACATCCACTCTTGCATTGCGTGTTCGTGCATTTTTGGGGGCGGAGCAATGAAGGGAGGGGTTGTTTGGGTTGATTTCAAATATCAAGTGTTTCTCAGAAATCACTTACATTTAATAATGACAAAAAATTGCTAATCTGTACTTTCTGTACATTTTTGCTGTATATTCCATAAGAAATCGATACTTACTCTCATGGCATCAAGGGCTACTCGTAGGTTGCTCTTTTCTGTGGTGTCATTAGTATATTTGACCAATTCCTATATGAAAAGTGAAAGAAAAAAAGTAAATTGTTTAAATACATCTCTTCTTAGAAGATCATGATTTTAATTTCTAAAATTAAATTTAGACAATAAAGTCAAAATATCACGATGATATTGTCCAGATACCACAATGAAAGAAAAAAAAGCCTAATTAAAACAGTGCAATCCTTGAAAAGAGAGAAGCAGCTTGGCATAATCTTTTTTTTTTTATTATTATTGATCATGCGGGGGGAAAAATAAGACAACTTTTTCATTTTTTTTTCTTCCATTTTATTAATGTTTCATCATTTTAGTTAAATGAGAATATTTCTACTCTGGTGCATGTGTTTCTTTATCTTGGAGACCTGTCATTGAATGTCATTGATGTCATTGAAACTGAGTCAGAATTATGTTCAGGCCCTGTTCTGTGTCACAGAATGTGGTCCCATCATCATCATCATCATCATCAAAACTCTGGACTAGACCACTTCATTGAGGACTTGTTCTGAACGACACAGTGCCAAGTTTCTAATGAGCGCACCACGTCATTTTTGATGGGATGCCGGACATTTTGATTTGAACCAGATTTATTCCACGGTATGGAGAAAAGCATCAACAGAACCTTTTGAGATACACGCTATAACATAACTAATTAACTTGATAAACAAATCTGGCCTTTGGATTTGTGCGCAAACAGACTTACGAGCACACAAACACGCTGGGAGAGAAATGGTGTTGTCCCAAGTATGAAATCTGTGCAGCTCATCAGAAACATGCATTTGTTTTCAGAGTGGAATCGAATTCTGCTGGAGAGAGACAAACAGCCCAATCGCAGCAAGTAAACAAGGTGAGTAGAAAGTTCAGCACTCTTTCCAGATTTACATTCTGACCCAGGCCACTGCTGTGACTTTGATGGAAGCTCAAGCATGTGTGTGCACGTGCAACTAGACTCAGGTTCCTAAAAGTATTGGAGGTATAATGCAGAGCAGGAGCTTATGGAGACCCAATTACCCACAGTACAAATGAATGAGATTTCAGTGTTCATCCCTGTAGATCTACCAGTAAATCCTGTCTCTTCAGACATTCATCTGTATTTCGGTCTCAAAACTCACTGCTAGTGGTTATCCGTGCTTCTGCAGACACCATGAGCTTTGTAAGACCAATTATTTATTTATTTTTGATCTGCACTGTCCTTTTGCGAGTGATGAACTCTGAATAATTTGTTAAAACAGCGTACAATAGTCAATATCATATCAGTTCCCATTGTAATGACTTATGCATTAACACGACAGCAAGAGATGCAAGACAAAAAGAGAATTGAAAACAACCTAAGTGTCAGACTGTATTTACTATACTAACACGATAGTGAATATGCAGTGTCTGAAACTCCTTTCTCGTTTGCTCATGTCCCATTCATTACATTCTGAATGCCAGTATGACGTTACATTTGCATCACATCATAAATGATGAAAAATTACATGAAATATGATCTGAACGTTTAGAGTTAAACTATTTTTCAAACTCGCATTTTAATTAGATATGAAACAACATATTTATGGGGTTCAGATCGGGTTTGTAAAAATCAGATCTCGTGTTTTGGGGGGCTCAGACCACAAACAATTGCAAAAATGCAACAAAAACAAAAGTCAGATACGGTACACTATTACAAAGAGAGTATGTTTGAGTCATGCCAGAGGAAGTGGGCACAATGTGTTTGAGCACAGGACAGCATGTGGTAGAGAGTCAGCTACACTGTCACCTGCCCCTGCTTTTGTTTGTGTGTGCGTGTGTGTGTGTGTGTGTGTGCGTGCGTGTGTGTGTGTGTGTCAGGTGTTTGTCAGGTGTGTGGCGACACGTCTCTAACACTTGTCCACACACTTCTGTTCTCATGTTATCTCTGTCCTGTTGTGAAGGACCTCTCGCTTACAAAACTTTAGCATGAAATAGTTTATTAACTGTGATAATTATATTATTTACTTATAGGTTATGCCTAGGTTAGTTCACTCAAAAATGAAAATTCTGTCATCAGTTACTCACTCATGTCATTCCAAACCTACAAGACTTTCATCTTTAAAACACAAATGAAAGATATTTTTAATGAAACCAGAGATATTTCTGGCCCTCCACTGAAAGTCTATTTACCCAAAACACTAGATGGTTCAAAACATTCATAAAGAGATCATAAAATAAACCCATATGAATTGAGTGGTTAAATTCAAGTCTTCTGAAGAGACATGATCCCTTTATATGACAAACAGATTTAATTTAGGCTTGTATTCACATTTAAACACTGATCAGCAAACATACATAGAGCACTAAAATATGGTAAATGAAAGCTCAACAGCAATTGCTTGACACGCAAGAATGAACCTCATTGGTTATCGAACTTCAAGCCTGCATGTTTGAGCTTCCATTTACCAAATTTGAGATATTTTTAATCTCTAGATTTCATTAAAATGATCATTTGTGTTCCAAAGATGAACGGAAGTCTTATGGGCTTGGAATGACATGAGGGTGAGTAAATGATGACAGAATTTTCATTTTTGGGGGAAATATCCCTTTAATTTAGTAAAATTGACTTGGCTTAATAAAGGGTTAGTTCACCGAAAAATGAAATTCTGTCATCATTTACTCACCCTCATGTCGTTCCAAACCAATAAGACTTTCGTTGTTCTTCGAAACACAAATGAAGGTCTTTTCAATCAAATCTGGGAGCTTTCTGTCCCTCCATTGACAGCTACGCAACTACCACTTTCAAGCCACAGAACGTTAGTAAAGACATCATTAAAGTAATTCATGTGCCTCCAGTGGTTCAACCTCAGTTTTATTAAGCTACGCGAGTGCTTTGTTTGCACAAACAAAATAAAAATAATAATTTATCACTTTATTTACAAAATATTAATCTCCAATGTGTACATGGTAAATTTTTTGAGCATACAAAGCACTCGGGTCACTTCATAAAATTAAGGATAAACCACTGGAGTCACATGGATTACTTTAATGATATCTTTACTACCTTTCTGAGGCTTGAAAGTGGTAGTTGCGCCGTAGACGGTCAATGGAGAGATAGAAAGCTCTCAGATTTCATTAAAATATCTTAATTTGTGTTCAGAATAGTCTTACGGTTTGGAACGACATGAGGGTGAGTAATTAATGACAGAAATTTCATTTTTGGGTGAACTAACCCTTTGAGAAACATGGTATTTATTAAATGAACAGTAAACCATCTGAAAAAATAAACTATATCCATCTTGACAAAGGACCACAATTAGAAATTAGCCTATTGGCTAATACTGGCACATTTACAGAAATTTTCTTATACATAAATAAATTAATTACTTTTGGTTTGGTCATAACACCTCCAGTGGTCACTTTAGGAAAAGTAGTTTAAAGCCACTCATATATTCACTTCAAAACTGGTCCCTATTTATTCTTGCAATATATTTTCTAATACATTGTGCATGTGATTATGAAGACAACTTTCCCTCTCATCCTACATCTGTCATATACAGATCACTTTTCAAAATAGAATTTTCCCAGTGGATAAAATCAAGTCTCAACCATAGACTGTAAAACCAACCCACATTTTTTGGATATATGCTCAGAAATACGTCAAAAGTATAAATGTAAAACTTTTTGTGATTGCACCTCTTGTGTTGATTTGTGCAACCTGTACTATCAGAAATGTCTTCCCTGAACAAAACAGGAGAGTGAAACTTTCCAGCCGCAGTGATGACAAGTTCTGTAAGTTCATGTAGTGAAGTGGTCACAGATGAAGAGAAAACCAGCCAGACGGCACCACCATGTGGTACATTTTAGTAGGACAATCTAAGAGGCTCATTCCAACACAGTACCGTATGCAGTTAAGATCCTCAAAAATGTGATATGCTTTCCTCTAGTGTTAATTCAAAGTGTTGGAAGAAGACAATATATAATATATAATGATAATAGTGTGGGTGTATAGGTGCATGTTACTGTACCTGAAGCAGTAGTGGGTACTTCAGCACACGCTGCATGGGAACTACAAGCAAGTCTCTCAAAGTGAATTTCCCATTGTTGGCTCTCTTCGAACATTCCTGCAACATAAAGTAAATGAAATATGAAAACAAAGAAGATCTTTTAGCGCTTTGGGTATGAGAAAAGTGCATTATAAATTATAAAATGAGATGAAATATTGTAAATATGACAGAAAATGAAACAGTTCTGCACCTCTAGTTTCAGTCGAACGCCCTCTTTCTCCTTACAGATGAAGTCTAACAGAGAAATGGCTGATTCTACATGACTGCAGTATTTTCCATAAAGCAGAAGCCTAAAGCAGACAGGGTAAATGTTAGCAGAAAACACACTCATCAGCAGTGCTTAATAATATCATTCTAGAAATATTAAATATTAACCAGGCCTGCAGAAATTCAACGAACACTCTGCAGGTGTACACAAAATTTGATTCTACACAAAAATCTGTCACCCCTAGCATATTTAATTCATTTTTCCTCAATATAATTGCTTTGTTTGAATTTTCAATAAAATGTCATGTAAATGAAATAAAAAAATATATAATCATATTTTGGAAAATGTATTATCATTCAGTTAATTCATCTCACCCCATTGGCAGACTGTGTCAAAACTAAATTGTGTGAACATGAATGAAAAATCAATTTAATTCAAAACGTATTCTCTGTAAACAAGTCTTCTTATCTTATGCAATTTTGCTTCTGAACTAACTTCGATTAAAGCTGCAGTCCGTATCTTTTCCTCTTTGTCGCCATCTCTCTGTTCGAAATCTGTAACTGCAGTGATTCGCGGAATTATTATCTTTACATGGGTTGTAAATCGGCATGAAACAGCGCGGATGAACACAGTGCTTTGAGGCGAGTGGTGCTGTCATACAGAATCACAGATTCACTTTTTGAAAGTTTGACCAACATAAGAATTTTCATAAGAAAATGTCTTCTGAACAAGTAAGTAAAATCCATTTTTGTTCTGACCAACTAAGGGGGAAAAAGCATTCGACATGATAAGCTTCGTTAGATTTAATCAACGCGATTTACAGCAACCGTGCAAATTTTAGCCTACTTTGTTCTCAAATTGTTCATGTTAACAACATCAGCATTGCGTGACTAATGTTAAATTTAATGTTTTATGGTTACCTGTGTAGTTCAGAATTCATATTCTCCATAATAGCAAAACGAGAAAGGCACAACAAAGGAAACTCCATAACTGTGTGAATTAAGAAAACGTACTGTTACACGATTGAACTATTGAAATGTCTTACTTGTTCAGCAGAAAAAAGCCGTCTCTTCTTCCGTTTTGAACCCCTTCAAAACACGGAGTTCACGCACTTTTCAAAAGCCCCGCCGATGTTTAAATCCTTGTGTTCGCATGAGACGGTTTCTTTCTCTTTCTCTAGCCACCTTAAATCCGAAGTACGAAGTCTTTTGGGTTTTATAACTGCTGAATCTCCAGTTGACACTGATGATTGTTGTTTGGATCTTTCTGGATGCCATATGTTTAATTATGTAAAGTGCTGCGAGAAAAGCCTATACATCTAAACATCTCGTCACGCGCAGTATAGCCGAAGGAGCCGAAACTCCTTCTTTATGTGTACGGGTGTGACGTCATGACGCAAAGACATGCTCGAATTTCCCGCGGAAACCCACCAGTACCACTGGAATTAAAATCATTATTACAAGCTAACCGTTTTGAATCTAGCTATGGCAAGCAGATAGTTTTGAACACTGGCTGAATAAGTTTTTTTTAATATAATTATTTTGGATTATTTTTAACTTAAAAAAGTTACGGACTGGAGCTTTAAGATACTTATCAAGATGTGCTTGAATGTGCTGATTTTATACTTGTCTTTGTAAGTAATGAAGATCTGGTGGAGGTTTTCTGCATTTTTATTTTGAACAGAGTCTTGAATCTCGGCCATTAGGATTTTGTGAACTTTAACCAGGTCCTGTAAAGTGCACACACACACACACACACACACACACACACACACACACAGACACACATATATATATAAGGTGTACATTTTAGACATTGTTTACTTTAAAAAATATAGAAACATGGTGGTCAGCTTTACTCACTGGTATATTGATGAAAACCTTGTCAATTTCTGTTGCCGAGATGAATTTTATCAGTGGAATCATAAAATACTGTTAAGAAACACACACAAAAATGTAAGCTCCATGTAGGAAAGTTATATCCTTCATTGAGTGGCAACAGCGGAGCAGCTGTCCATCACTAGACGTGAACTGCGGTATGATGAAATTTTCCACGCTGAGAATATGAATCTTACCTTCTCGATGGTCTCCAGAGTCTCAGTGTATTTGGCTTCTGTCTGTTTGATCTCTAAAAGACAGCAGCTTCTGATGTCCACCTCGGCCTGTTTCTGTCAACACAACTCTAACGTGAGAGAAGACTACAGCAAGCTCTCCCAAAAAAGCTTTAAAAACACAACCTAATGAAGTTTTATAGGGTCTCAATGCAACTCATCCAGTTTAAAGACACAAGTTATGTTTTTTTTTCTGGTGATTTTTGTGTTTACGGTGAATTTACTCATAAAGATTCGTATGAAAATGCAACCATATTTGTGGTAGGAGTAGGTGTTTTACAAAGGAAATCAACACTTTGATGCATTGGGAGAGTTTGTGTGTGTGTGTGTGTGTGGTATTGAGTCATTTGCGTACCGCCTGAGATGCAGCAGCCTCTGTCCTCATCAGATCCTCATACACCTCTCCTCCATCAACATCTCCGTACACAGGGTCGTAAATATCTTCCTCCAGCTCCTCGCTGTTTACACAAACACATTCAAGATTAGGACTTCAGAACTGCTTTAAAAATATGAATATAAATACACAACAGTTAACAGTCAAACCACAGACTTCGTGGCTACTGGTTTTTAAATACAATAGATCAGTGAACCGAGGTAACTTCCTGTTTTCACACTTACTATTAATCAGCCATTCACATTCCTCCCATGCAACACTTGCATAGATTATAGATCTCATACATTACTGAAACTATAAATTGTTCAATTCTAGAGTTGATCAGAAACAAAACACGTACATATGCGTGGGAGACTAAAAGCGCAAGTGCTAATGAGTTTCCGAAAATGAGTATCTCATTGCTTCCAATCAAAACAACTGCCCAATTAGGTTAAGAGAGCTTCATGCTTACTCAAGGAGATCTGCCAAATGGATGTATATGTCTTCATTTTCACTGCTTTCCTCTGTGGGGAATGACCTGTGAAATCAGTGCAGAACCCTTATTTTAGCTCAGAGAATAAGATCTTTAATGTGTCCAACTGATTCATTTTGCAAATGCAAACCCACCTGATCCCTCTCTGTTGTGCAATAGGCGTATAAGAGAGTTTTGATAGAGTGTCGATGACCTGGAAAGACAAAAGTGTGTTTTTGAATTGCAAAGTAAAGATAAACGTTGTGTGTCAGTTGTTGGTCTACTTACAGTATACAGACTTTTAGTTTATCTGTAGTCATTGTGTTTTTAAACGTGTTTCCCTGGTCTTTTGAGACAAATGAGTTCAATGTATTACACTTTATGAAAACAAACTGTAACTTTCAGAATTTCCTCTCCATCAAAAAAAGGACATTTATTGAAACAAACCCGGCCAAACAGCTTTTTCTGCAACTTTAAATGATGTCAGATGACAACATTTAAACATATGCACATTATTTTATTTTACTTTTAACAAGATCGCTGATCATTTCAGTCTGACCTACTCAGTTTATAAATCATATTTTAAATTATTTTGTGATATAATGCAAGGTTTACAAAGTTGTTAAAACTATAGTTAAAACTATTTAATACTCAACAATAATCTGTAGTTCAAGTAAAAGTGCTGTTGCTCATTTCACATGTGATAAGGGATGTTTACAAAAGGCACAAAAAACAGTTATAATATATGACTATTTATACTATGTCTTAAGGGAAATATAATGAAATAAATATAGGTAAATATAACTTAGTGATACTTCATCCTATATAATCTCCATCCTTCAATTACAACAACATCTTTGTAAACCTTGCATTCCATCACAAAACAATTTAAAAGGTCGACTGCTGATATTTTATTGTAATATATTAGTATTTATATGTGGCTTTCTGGGAAAATATGAAATAACAAAAATGTGATATGACACATTTTAAGTGAGTAAAAGTTTTTAAAGAAATACAATAAAATAATTAAATAACAGTGTGAATATTAAACCCACTGCTTTAGCTGAAAAGCAAAACTGATTCCTATTATAGACTACCTATAAAAAATGATGCTATTAGAGAGACGCTGCACTATCGGGAGAGGAAGTGGTCTTGCAATGCCAAGCTGCTCTGATGTGGGCCTGTTTTCTCACATTTACAATCATGCACACACACACACATAAACAGATTGACATATGGTTACACACATGCATGCATGCATGCATACACACAAGCACAATACGTTCAAATAGACAGATCTAGGTGATAGCACATTTGGGTCTTTGACTCACGCTTCAGAACACCTGTTGAAAACCAACCCTGCTTCCTTTAGAAAGCTATTTTTGTTCACACCCGTGATGTTTTTGTCATCTCCTTTCATTCTCGCTTCATGCATTTTAAATTGCATAAACGTTTAAGCATTTTAACACTTTCACAGATGGCATTCTGTCACTGTGGAGATGGAACAGCAGAAATCCCTGAGTAACAAATTTAGCTAAATCTATGTTTCCCTCGTATCTGTTCCACAAGGTAAAAATAAAACCATTCAGTACCTTATTACTAATACAATCTGCACTACGAATAACATCTTTGAAGTGCGTTTAAAAAAAGTCACCTTTACAGTATAAAGCCAGATGCAAATTCATAGCTTTTGCAGTTTTACAGGCAGACCGCAGCTGAATTTCAATTCCTACATAAAGCGGCACAGCAGAGGTGAGCTTTTCGTTCTGCATCTCAATAGACTGTGCATTCACAGGCCTCGTTCAAACAGAATGCGCTTTTGCTTTGAAAGACGTGAGACGCGGGCAGTGGGATAGGGAAAAGGGGTCTCGAGATGCGTTTTTTAAAAGTTGAACTGATTTTAACTTGAGTGCTGCGTTTTTAGAACGCCGTGTCATGCGCGAGACGCTGCAAAAGACCCAAGAGGTGTAGAAAAACAATGGAATGGAAAAACACATTCTGTGTGAACAAATCAAATTATGAAACTATGTCATGTGCAGAAGGCAAGACTATATTATATCAATGTAAAAACAGTCACAAATTTGACGGAATTTGTTTAAATGCTTGAAACTAGCTTTGAAACAACATGGAAATTGTGCATACCAATGCATTTCTTTTACAATTGAATTATATTTATGCGTTTGGTAGATGCTTTTATCCATTTATCAGTCCATTTATCAGCATTCTCTGGGAATCAAACCCATGACCTTGGTGTTGCTAGCGCCATGCTCTATTGTTTAAGCAACAGCTTCTATAAACTATTTATTATTATTCTAAATTATTGGTCAAGTTAGACAAGATAGTCAATTAAAACAATTTCCCAGCAGACATGACTGCTTCAATCCTGTTAAAAAGCAACCCGTGATGCACCATGCCAAGATTGTACTGAGCTCTATTCGAGACAAAACTGTTAGCTACTTTCTGGCATCTAGAATATAAGACTCAAACATTTTAGTCACAATATATTTCCTATTTCTCCTTCCATTTATGTTATTTCATAGTGTTAATGACTTTCACATTAATGATGTGACAATCTGACAACTAAAAGTCTTCCAGATATTTAACCATCACCTGACAATGGCTTTTAAAGGTTTCCTGTGCTTCTTTGGTTACATGTTCATCAGAAGGAAGTTCAAAAATACAGCACTGTTTAATCTGAATGTGGTCTTAACTCTTAGCCTGGTTGGGATTTGGGAGATTTAGAAATCAAGAACAAGACCATGATTTCAAATATCAGCTAAATAATACGGCCATGTACAAAGAAAAAAAAAAGTTGATCCGATGCACTTTTTGCATATACTGATTAGACAAACAAATACACACCAGACTATTACAAACATCTGTACTCAATATTATTATTTTTTTAATTATCAACTTACTTTTTCATTCAAAACATATGTGAAGCAAATAAAGCAGCTCAAGAGAAATCGTGTCTGTAAATCACGATTGCGTTAGGATTGCAAAGACAAAACTCCAGCCACCTATTGATTTGATATGGTTGAGTTATCTAACCGTCAATATACTACCCCAGTAACCTAATAATAAGAGAATGCCTAGAAGGCATGTAGTAAATCTATATTCTCTACTGTCAAATGGGGTGACTGAAACAACGACATGTGCATAAGATGACGTGCCTTGAAGTCTCTAACTAAGGAAACAGGAAGAAAAAGCCACCCTCCAAACAGCTGTGGTAGAGTTCAGCAACATTAACACCTGTGTGACTTCATGAGAAACAATTTTAAGAAAGAAATAAGCAATGAGAGACCATGTTTTAAAGGCAGGGGAGTCGATTCGTTTCGGAAACATTTTTTGTCTCGTTAATTTATGTGTTTCAATGGCAACATTATCAACACCGAAATGAACTACAGCAGTCAGGTGATACTGGTCAGGGCTCTTTAAGTTGTTTATGTTCATTATTATTGTAATGTTATGTGCTTTGAGACATGAGGTAGTTTAACGCTGTCCCTCTTGATGCTTTTGTTTGCTCCCTGCTGTACGCATTCATGTGTTTTGAAGGAGGCCTGGCTTGAGAGAAGCTCTGAAGGGAGGATTTGATCTTATGCTTTCAAAGCTAGCTTGTTATTACTAGCCTTTCTGAAAATTGGCTACCCTACCTTTAAGGCCCGTTCACACCAAGATTGAAAACTAGCGCCCACATCATTCTGTTTATTCAAAGTGCGCGCAGAAATTTCGTCGTCTCCCACTTTAAATGCTCAAGCTCTTTAAAGCAGGATGGATTCTGATTGGCTGCCAATGTTTTTATCATTCATCAGCTGGGAAAAATAGTTCTGAAAGTGATTCCAACGATATTGTTTCTCTGTGCTGTTATCATTATAGTTATGGTGTGGACTGCTATTCTTTTATATTTAGAATGATTTGTAGAACTATATTTTTTATCATTATCATTACAGTTGTCGTCCTCTGTGTAAACAGGCCTTTACAGTCATTTAAGGCACTATGTGTGAAGTGGAGTATCTACACACGGTAAAATCACTTTACCGACTTTGTATTACGCTTTACTGCTTATTGCTTTTATAAAACTATATGAAAACTTTAATGAAACTATAGTTACATATTGTAATTGAGTTGTTTTTTTATTTTATTTGAGTAATGTAGTGCATTATACTAACATTAGGCTGTATGCAGTTACTGGGCAAAGTACAGTATGCAACTTGGCATGTGTTTTTCAGCGTTTTACAAAGGCTTTGAATGGCAGACCATCCAATCAGAGTTTGAACAATGTTTTATAAAGTTTATTTTACTTAATACTAAAATAAGCACACAACTTCAACTCATAGTGCTAAATCTGAGCTGCATTTCATGTCATTACTTCATAATTTCATTTAAAGAAGATTTAATGGATGTGGATATAACATGCATACTTACAAGGCAAACTCATGTTAGTAGATTGCTGCAGGGCAAAGATTATTCAGAAGGATTAACTTAAACCTTGAGAACACAGAGAGACATATAAATGGGGCAAAACCCAGCAACTACAGTCTCAAACATTTCAATGTGAAGTGAACAATTCTTACAATGGAGCCACTGCTTCATTGTGTATTTAAAGCACAAACACAGTAAAAACAGTGATATAGTGTACAGTTTTCTATTTCAATATATTTCAAATTATAATTTATTCAAAGCTGAATTTTCAGCAGCCATTACTCCAGTTTTCTTCATTGTCATATGATTCTTAGAAATCACTGTAATATGTTGATTTGGTGCTTAAGAACCTTATAATCAATTTTAAAAACAGTTGTGCTTCTTAACATTTTTGTGGAAACTGTCTGTGATAAAAAATAAAATCTTCGATGAATGGAAAAGAACAGCATTCGTTTGAAATAAAAACCTTTTCTAACATTGTAAATGTCTTTACTGTCACTTTTGATCAATTTAATGCATCCTTGCTGAAGAAAAGTATTCATTTCTTTTAAAAAAAAAATTTGAACGGTAGCGTAAATATATGAAAATAAAGAAATCACATTGTAAGATATAGACACATTGCGCGAAATAAAGCCAAAATGATGAGAAACAAAGTCAAGAGATATCAATTGCAAGAGATAGCATCGCAGTTGGGAGATATAAAGTCGCTTACCTTAGCCAAAAGTAGCCAAATATATTGAAAAAGTAGAAAATGCATAGACATCTTCAGGGCTATAGGGAGTACAACTACAAAAATAGTGAATCTGTGATGACGGGGAGTGACTATCAAATGACCACCTCATTTCATGCTACCGAAATAAGTATTTAAATTAGTAGCGTCACTTTTACTACTACGACACTCGTTTTGATCTACTTCAACATTAACTATACATCTGCTATTCACCATTCATCTTGCATAACTGCACAAAACAACAGGTTCTCCAGATACATTATATGCTGAACAAATGACACTCCTCAGCTCCATTTAAATACACACATGACCTTAGCTCGAAGCCTTTAAAAACTGGGGGTGTTTGCACTGCTTCTCTGTTCCCTGCATTAGTCAGTTCTTTCAGGAGTGCTCTCCCGACTGTAGTTCAGCCCTGCAGGGATGTACTAATGCTTCTGCGTGGCTGCAGATGTGTCATACGAGTGCGGTCAAATAATAGCTGAACTCCTCTGTGAGAACAGCGCTGAAGGACGCGCCACTTTATGTTAACCCCACATGAGACCAGACCTTCAGCCACTGCGCTTGCTAGGAGGAGGAGGAAATGCCAGGAGGAAGCTACTGGAGTTGGTTACTCCTGTGGCTCAGGGAATTATTGTTCAGTCTAAACATTCATGAAGAGGTTGTACAACAGGAAATAAATGAGCTATTTATTACAGGTCACCTTCAGAGGCCAGACCACAACCCCATCAACCTGAATACAGGAAGACAGCTACATTTTCAGATTATTTTCATTGCATGGGAAAACGGAATGTAAAAAAGGGCATGTTGGCTTAGAGAAAGAAGACAATGTTCATAAAATGATTATGATTATTCTTTATTATTTTTTATGATTATTCTATTAGCAGCCATTATGTTAAGACTGCGTCTAGTATGACCAACTAACAGTTAGTTAGGAGTAATCATGTCTTACTTTTTGGTATCTACATTTTTATGTAACAGACTTTAAAAAAAGGTTATAAACAGACTTATTAAAGGGTTAGTTCACCCAAAAATTGAATACCACTGTAGTCACATGGACTATTTTAACAATGTCTTTACTAGCTTTCTGGGCCTTGAAAGTGGTAATAACTTGCAGTCTATAGGGGGGTCAGAAAGCTCTCGGATTTCATCAAAAATATCTTCATTTGTGTTCCGAAGATGAAGGTCTTATGGGTTTGGAATGACATGAGGGTGAGTAATTAATGACAGAAATTTCATTTTTAGGTGAAATAACCCTTTAAAGAAAAAAGAAAAAGATGACTAATTTGTAAGACTGGTTTGCAAATGGCCCCAGAACTGCATGTTAGATTCTCAGCTTCTCTGGTCAGCCGTATCACACTCCCCCCTCTATCAATACATACTGTCTGACCCATATTCAGCAAATAATGTTTGTTAATAGTCTCATTAACACTAAGCATGAATTCACAGCTAATTCTGATTTCAAAATAAAAATCAAAACAAATTACTTATGTTCATTATATAAATAATATATTAATACATTAATTAAATATGTTTATTGTTCATTGTGTACATTATTGTTATGATGATTATATATATATATATTCACCATAACATATATATATATATATATATATATATATATATATATATATATATATATATATATATATATACAGTATTATTGGTTACAACTGGCTACTTTATAAACAATAAAAATTCTAGAAACAATTACATTTTTTAGAATTTTTTCTATTTTTACCTTTCCAAAATCACGGACATCGAAGAGATCGAAGGCATCAAACAATTCACTCTTCTTAATCCCAAATACGTCACAGCATGCAGACAGAAATGTACGAATATTCTTCAGGCAGAGGAACTAAAAGAGCAAAAACAAGATTTCGTTAATTTTCAAACGATTTTGTTTTTGCATAATATGGACAAGCAATTTCGGGATAACACAAGAATTTCTGTGGAAATGTGGCCTTGTGAGAGACAGATTAGGGGACTCATTAAGGCTTTTCCCTTCGGTAGATGAGGAAATGAGATTTCCAGCTAATCACAAACGGTCTCTATTGTCTAATAGGTGCAATTGACTTTATTTCTGATTCTGTGTTTTTTCTTTCCAGTCAAAGATCACAAGGTTGCTTTTAAATCCTCACACTACTGTGAGGGAAGTGTCTGTGTGTCCATCATGACAGCTGAATTTAAATTTAATAGTTTTATATTAGTTCACATTTATTTATTTAAATTAATGTGAACAAATTTTTTAGGGCACAAAAACCACACATATCAAAATACACACGACTACAGGAGTCAGATAAGTGACAGGAACGCTGACTAATTCAAGGGATTTTGTTGAAAATTGCTCTTTTCCGTTGTCTGATGGAGACTGACTGTGTCTCGTCAATCCAGAAGGGTGGATTTGTGAGTTTAAAAATCAGTCACATCAAAGTTGGATTTTATCAGGTCACTGGAGTGAAACAGGGGCATCTGGGAAGAGTCGTTTGGCCCTGGGCAGACTGCCCGAGACTTCTCAGCCCTAAACACTTACTTACACACAGCAGCGAATCAGACAGAACATTCATCTGGATGACTTTTGGGTCTCTACCAAAACACGCTGTACATTTAAAAATTGATGTTTCATTAGCTCAATGTTTACCCAGTTTGTTGAGAGCTTTGCAGACTGACTGAATGATGCAGTATACAAAGAGAGCTGTGTATATCTACCATTGGACCTTTTGTGAAGAGAAGTCTATGCTACCACTGGCACTAGGGCCCCTTACAGTACTATATGGCACTGGCTAGTACTATAAAGGTTTAAATGAAAAAATGTCAAAATATAGGCTAGGCCTACGTATATAATATGTAGGGTAGAAACAAGTGTACTGAAAGAGCTATATACTTCTCATATGTGTGTACTACAGGAGTCTTATGTGAGTCCAGTGTCAGTAGGTTAGTGTTTCCATAACTGCAATACATTAAAAGAAAACAATACAACGTTTAACAGAAGTAGTTATAAGTAATAAAATAACAGTAGTCTATCTATTGTTTGCGCTCACCTGTGACATCTGTGGTCTGAGATTGATCTCTTTTAGGTTAATGGTGTCGGGTCTGAGATTGTTCAGCAGTTGACACAGAAGCACCCCATCCCGTAGAGTTTGGGCCAAATCAAAAACCTGCGCCGCATCCGCCGTGACCCGATGATTCCGGGGCAAAACTTTACAGTTGATCAGCCACAAGCTGCATTGCCTCCAGTACTCCATAATGCGCGTATAAAATTAAAATCAACAACTGTGAAATAAATCTGACACCGTTAAATGAAGCTAAGATGATGTAGAAACACCCGAAGCAGAGCAGCGCGCACACCTTGCGTTATATTTGGCATCCGTGGTTTTCTTTTTTGTGCGTGCGCTCTTGGTTGTCAAAACTGAGACTTGTGCGTACTAATTTGGGTTTATCCGCGGTCTGCTAGGACTATAAATCCCCATCAGTGAAGTTACGAATTCTAGTATGGCAAAGTTTTTTATAATAATTGAGTCGTGCGGCGAAGTCTGGTAATCTTTCAATGGAGAAGTCTGATCTCATGAATATTAATGACACGCTGCTGACGCTGCGTTGTAATCTTCCAATTGCGAAGGCTCGTCTCATGAATATTAAGAGCCAAGTCTGTATCATAGTAGGATAATTTCGCCCCCCTTAGCCTATCAAATGAGTTTCCTTTTCCGTTAGTTTTAAAACCTCTTGAGGATTTCTCTTTCCTCTTCTAAATATCACAGTGACTTGTGGTTTGTAGTACGCTGTAAAACTGTAAATAAATTATTTGTCCAACCTGTATGATTAATAATGTCCAGAATAAAAGAAAATCATTAGAATAATACAAAGAGATACTTATTATTATTAGTAGTAGTAGTAGTGAGGGCTATAGTTTATAAGACAATCGTTTAACGTTAGCTTTTTAATGGTGAAGTAGGCCTTTCACTGGGAATTTAGGACATTCAGGATGGATTAAACATGGCTTTAGATAGCTGATCATTCATAATACAACGATGGAGAAGTTGATTTAAGAGCGAACTCACACAGATAGTGCAAACGTTCTCTTATACTTTTCCAGTAATGAAGATTAATGACCATGAGTGAATATTCTAGTAAAATGAGTTTGCTTATTAATTTGTTTTTTTCTTTTAGAACTTTCAGACAATTTTATGAAAGCGGTTTTATAGTGTGCCGTGGTTAAATGAATATACATGAATCGTCTAGGAAATATATCGAAATGAATTCGTTTTAAATAACATAATTAGTTATTTATTTATTAATTTGTTATTTATTTGGTTTAAAATGTATAAAAACAGTCGACGTTGCACGTGCGTGTGAGGCGTTGTGTTGTCACGTGCTTAATTCCGTCCAATCAGCAGCACGGGAAACGCAGTTCCATAACACAACACAACACAAGCGCTTCCACATTAAATTCGTTGTGCAACTCAAACTTCAGATTCTCCTTGAAGAGTATTGGATTTCAAGGTGAGAAACACTTTTGTTTTAAACTGTATTAAACATTAGTACGAGTTTCAGTTGTGTACGTTGAATATATGCTATAAGCTTAGGTGAGCATAATGATACAGTTTCTCTCATATTTCGTTTTATCTCGCTGACACAGATGGCTCTTGCCCTGGCTGACAGGGCTATCGGAGCTATCGTTGCCTCAGCTGTGGCCGATGCTGCAGGTTTGACTTACTTACGAATACTAGTTACACAATATTATATATAACAACAGAGTCACGTTCTGTAATTTACCACAGTCTAATTGACATCGCAGTGTTATAGTAAATGTTATTGTTTTTATAAGCATTAATACTGCTAAAGAACATGCACATGTATGACATTGCAATTTATGTAATCACACATGGTTCTTCTTGTTATTACTACAGTAATTAATTATAGAAGCAGGTAATGTGTAAGTTACCTATAATCAAATGTTTACACAGATTTGTGTTTATATACCCTGCAGCACAACCGCTCCACTGGGTCTATGACCTGCAGAAGCTGAGTGTGTTACTCTCTAAAAGTCCTCAGCCTGAGTTCCACCCTGAGTCTGCAAACCCGTTCTACAGGAGGAACACTGGACATCAGAGCTGCTATGGAGATCAAGCTTTCGTGCTCCTGGAGTCCCTGTCTGAGTGTGGAGGTGAAAAATACTCAACAAAACAATTAGAACATGATACATTCCAGTATGTAGCTATATAAAAGCTTGACTGTGGTACTATGTGTATCATCATGTTATTTTGCCATGTTGTGGTTCATGGGTTAACAGGTTTGAATGTGGAAGATTTGAAGCAGCGCACCTACAAGTTCTTTGGACCGGGATCTGAATATGACACACCAGTCAATGATCCTTACAGAGACAAAGGAGGTAGATTAAATCCATTGCACAAATTTTCATCTTATTTACTTTTTTATTAGTTGTTCTTGAAATATTCCAAGGTATATTTATTTTTCTACATAATTACAACAGCTATTTTATTACAAACAATTCTAATAAGAAATGTGTATATATGTGTGTATATATATATATATATATATATATATATATATATATATATATACTGTATATACAGTATGTCCTTACATTTTATTTTACTTTTAATTATTTTAAATAAATGTACATTTAAAACACACCTGTTGTTCTAGTGTTATTTATATACTATTATAATTTAAAATATGGATTGACCCTATGGGGAACGCCATCAGCGTGACCAGCAGTGTCTAAACCACATGTGCAAATACCACAATTTCAGTTACATTGCAGGCACCCTCTTATACTCACAGGTGCTCTGGTAATGACGTCATACACTGTCGTTGGCCAATGAAATTGTTGTGTTTGCACACGTGCTTCAGACACCGCCGGTCACGCAGGTTACAGTCGGAACCTGAGACGTTTTATTAGTTTTGTACTGCTATTATTTGTATTGCTATTATTCAGGTTTAATTTATTTTTATTTCAGTTTAAGTTCAATTTTATTGCTTTAACTTCAACTTATTTCAGTGAGTTGCCTAAGTAACATTTCTAATTTTCTTTAGTTTAAGTTTTTCTAATACGCTTTTTTATTAATATTTATTTTTCTTATTTTATCTTTCAATGTCATGTTTTAGTTAACAATGAGAACCATGCCTGCACGTTTGTCTGTCATTTTGACTCATAACCCCAGACAGATGGTTAGGTTTGTTTTGTTTTCTTGAATTATTCATGATTTTATCATTTTTTCTCTCAAGCTCCCAGGCCTCAACTACCTATTGAGGGACCCTGGAGACATGCAAGCCTTAAGAGCTTTATAAAAAATGTGGATGCAGGCAAGGAAGAGACAGGTATTGTCAGATAACCATCCTCCTAAATATTTTGTGTAGCCACATTATTGTTAATAAACACAAATTCATTTAAATGTTTTTCAAACGTATAATTATAAGAACATTCTATGTAAATCAACAATAAATCTTTATTGTGACACTTTCCAGGTTGTGAAACTGATAATCAAATAGATGGAGTGGCAAAGCTGGCTCCCATTGTAGCGTGCTATGCTGGAAAGCCAGAGATGTTGGAGAGGGTTGAGGAAGCCATCCGTGTCACACAAAACAACGACATATGTGTGGCGGTAACTCTCGCTGCTGCTAGGTTGGTAATATATGATTGACAACATGAGACCATGTGACACGTACATACAACTAGGTTATTTATTTCAGTTTCCAGTATGATACTTAGATGGTGGCATATGACAGTTTAAATTTTGTGAGGAAATGGTGTATGAACTGATCTCTTTAATATGATGGGAAATGCCAGTGTTAAAAGTTGCTCTTTCTTCAGGTTCTTGGAGCATTTCATCCTGAATGGTTCTGATCCCAAGGCCCTGGATGCAGTGCTGAAACAGCTCAATGACCCGAACAGAAAAAACCCTCAGGAGTTGGACAAAGCCATAGCTGGTATAAGCAGCTTGGTACTGTGTTATGAGCTGGATTCTTCACAGATGAAGCCGCATATACTGTCACTTGTCTCTTTAGCTGAGGCTAATGCATCATTTAACCCTGCGAATCACGTCATTCACTGTGTTTTCTAACTTAGGGCACATTCATCAAGTAAAGGACAATCTGAGCAAGAAACCCAAAGAGCTCATTCCCACTGTCTTTCCAAATACCTGAGGTTAGTTACATTCAGTTAACCTGTAGCTGATATTGTATTATTCTCTGAACAATACAATACTGTATGCACACTACAGTAGGCCCATGTCTCTTTAGCTGAAGCATTCAGTTTTGTTGGTTTTTTTTTTAGATTGATTGTTAGTTACGGGCTATGTCACGTCCCTCAGGTTTGCCAGGTGCGTTCCAGGCAGCGCTGCATGGGGTTCTGACAGCCAGCGGCTATGAGCAGGCTGTCCGGGACGCCATGGGCTGCGGTGGATGCACCTGTAGCAGGAGCTCCTTCATAGGCGCCTGCATTGGAGCTCAGGTACTGCAGAAATATATGAATGGCCGTGTGATCTGTTTGACCACATTGCTCTATTATAATACAAAGTAGTCTATATGTAATCAAGGTCAAATTCTTCTTGTGTTATCTGTTGTTGAACACTTATCTTTAACTGAGCAATCCATTCCAATCTTTCATCAGGTGATTATGTCATACATGACAGAATGACTATGCAGTAACTTTTGCGTTTATGTAATATGGCTCTCAATATCTAATACTGTGACACTTGTTTTCAGGTTGGTGTTGAAGGAATCCCAAGTTCCTGGAAAAGCAAGACTTTGCGATATAACACTTTGTTAGATCTTGCAAAGAAAGTTGTTAATCTCCAACAGCTTTAACTTTTTAGTATGCAAAGTTAATAAGGAAGTGGAAAATAACTGATATGAATATAAAATCATACATGTTCTTATGATTTTTTTTTTCTTTTGCCTAAAGATCATCTTCCATGGTTGTGATTTTGATGAGACAGTTCATGAAAGTTGTAGCTTAAAATATGAAAAAGTTATAACTTGATACCTTTGTTATATGAAATCACAACCAGGCTTGTAGAAAATGGCATATATATATATAAATGACATTTTGTGGCATTAAACTAATATTCAATGAAACACTTTGTATCTGTTTTGTTATTATTGCACTAAAAAGTCAAATAAATACTACGCAACTACTTGTTTTGACCGATAGCGCCATCTAGTGGACATCATGAAAACTCAGACCTCATGGGGAGAGAATAAATTGTTTTTATTTATCAGGAAAAAAACAATAGGCTACTTTAAAAGGTTTCCATTTTCTTAAACACGAAGCAAGCAGTAATATTTGACATTTTAATGTTCATATCACCATATTTTATTTGGTTTATTTATTTGTAATTTCCTATTATTCCGTGTTTTGTTTAACAACATAAAACGTATTTGTTTTAACATTTATTTAATTTTAAAATATTAGATATTTCTTTTTACATTATACTTTATAGCAAATTAGTTTATTTTGTTTTTGTTGATTTATTTCCTGTTATTTATTTATGCTTATTGCTTTTTTCATTTAGCCTCTCACAACATTACTAATTTTATTTATTATTTCCTATTATTTATTGATTTATTTTTAGTTTGTCAAGCTAAATGTGCCACATATTAAGTTAACAATAATTTTCTCACTCTTTGGCTCTTTTTTTTAGAACCAAATACGAAATAGTATTTTTCCAAATACTATAGACAGACAGTATTTGTTATATTTTATAGCCAAACTGCTAAGTAGGCAGCACACACACTATGGTTTGAGAGTGACACACCCGCTGGTTCTCGTTGAGTTTGTCCTTCCTCTCTTCTCACACTCACACACTCCAACAACAGCTGCTGCTCTGCGTTAGCAGCTACACTACTGACAGATACATCACAATACACACCAGACAGCCTTAACACAGCCTCACGCGTTTATTTTTCATTAGATATCTTTCCAGTTGCGTTTTCTTACATGGACTACACGCTTATCACAACAAAGCGAGCTGAATTCAGAAGTGTTTTGGCCAGACGGAGAGAGGCTATAGCAGGCTAATCTGTGTTTGCTAACAGGCTTCAGTTCAGACTGAAGGTTTAAACACATCGGTTTATTCATAAACACAGACATGGAGTTCAACGTTAGACGACTAGCAGCGGACGCGGGCACTTTCCTCAGCCGTGCTGTGCAGGTATAACGTTAATGTCTTTAAATTACTTTAAAACCCCCAAGACGGGGCGTTTAGTCTGTTGTTTTTAAACTGTTTTTATTTACTTTACTTAAAAGTACAGTTCCGGCAAATTGACAGCTGTGTGTGTCTTCATTTACTCACCCTCGTGTCTGTATGACTTCTCACTCCTCCACAAAAGCAGATTGTTATGAACTGACAGCCGAAGTCCCCATTCACTCCTTAACTTACTTCTTTTTACCATTTTAAAGTGACTGGTTACCAAAACTGTCATTCTGCCTAACATCTCCCTTTGGGGCTTTACAGAAAATACATATGAATTCAAATTCATTAGTTTAGAACAGCATTGGGGTGGTGACAGTTTTTTTTGTTTTCATTTTTTAGGTTTTGTTCACTATTCCTGTCAGAAGAAATAAAACGGTTTATCAACTATGTGTGTTAGTATGTCAACTGTAATAGGCATATGTCAAATTTAATGCGACAAATGGTGCATTTTATTTTAGGATATTGTTTTTTATTTGTTTTTTGTTTTTATTTTGATATAATATAAATGGGTCAATGACATGCCATGCATATTTTTGTGGTCAAGTGCATTATTTCCTTTTAAAATAATTTGATAAATGCATGACATATCACTTTAATCTTTAAAACCTATTTAGTTTGAATTAATTTTTAGTACATTTAAAAATAGATATTATTTTATGTTTTGTTATCTCAGGTGGTGCAACTGTCTGAACAAATGAACAGACTAAGAAAACTATTTAAAATGGTGTCTTAATAATACAAAAATAAAAACGTAATACTATAGCATTAGCAATTTGTATATTCTCAGATGTCAGGGTGGCACTGCAAAACATGCCTCGTTTATTATGAATTGACTATGTAATAACAGTAAACATGATAAGCCCAACTGATTCTTGTGGCAGAGTGAAAAGGTTTGTAGATCTCTCCGATATACTGGTAAAAACTGCTCATTTCAAGTATGGGTAGGTTGGTACTCCATGTCAGGTGGTACAACTACAGTATATACACATACAACTATTTGGTTATACCGCCTGACATAAAAAGTGTCAAAAATGAAACACTTTGAAAACTTGTTTAACACATTGTTCAAGACTCAAAAAAATGCATTACATCAGTTTAAAAAAGATTTTTAAAAAACACCTTTTGTGAAGCTTTATTTGTCAATGACCGAAATATATACTTTTATTATTCATGTAAACAGTGGGAAAAAGTCATATGTTGGCCGGAAATGCTGTTTAGGTCAGCAGCTCACTAGGTTTTGGTTTTGAAGCCACAGCTATAATGTGTGAACTTAAACACTGTCAACTGTAAAAAGTCAAATGTAATATGTAAACTATACTGCTGAAATGTCATGTGTCAGAACTGTCTGTCAACAAACTGTTTGCAATCCATGTAGTTCACAGAGGAGACGTTTGGGCAGGCGGAGAAGACTGAGCTGGACGCCCACCTGGAGACCCTTTTGATTCGGGCAGAATCCACCAAACACTGGACGGAGAAGATCATGAAACAAACTGAAGTTGTGCTGCAGCCGAACCCTAGTAAGAAGAAATGCGTGCGATTAAACAGGACTGTGGTTCAGCAATACTGCCAGTCAACATGTGCTCATTTGTATCACCAGTAGAGAGGAAATGAACTCAGCATTACAGTTTGTGAAATCATCCCGCTATTGCAGTAACCCTAATTGCAGGAGAACAGTGTTAGGTTCCCCATCTGTTCCTTGCGATGGGATTTGGACCCAGCCTTTAGGACCCAGAGTATTTTTTAGCTGTTTAGCCAGGAAGTCAAAACAAAGTGGGTTATATCTTGCATTTATGATCTTAGGCTGTCTTAGAATTAAGAAAGAAACACATCTCTATCTTTATTTAGGCTTTTGGTGGCATAGAGGTTTACTTTGCTTTATTTCCCAAGCAGCATAAAGGGGAAGGCTCATGATTTTCTTTTTCTTGACATGCACACATATCAATAGTAACTCTTTGTAAGATATTTTTGATATTCAGCAGCAGTAATTTGTGCCTGTGGCCGTGGGTGACCGGCCTTGCTTAAGAGGTTGCATGTGGTCTCATCTGACTCCGTCTTAATTGAATTTGTCTGATGTGTGTAGATGTCCGGATGGAGGAGTTCCTTTACGAGAAGCTGGACAAAAAAGTCCCAACACGTGCCAACAACCACGAGTTGCTAGGGGAGTGCATGATCGACTCGGGACACGAGTTCGGACCTGGAACTGCGTACGGTAAGCTCATTACGTGATCTCGTCCCACTGATCCTGGACCCTGACAGTCTCCGCTAGTTTTTGGGGCTACGTCCATGAAATTATTGCGACGTCACAAAAAGCAAACACTTCTTCAGACAAGCAGCTTTCTATTGATTAAACATCTGTCTGTTATTATAAAGGGATACCGATGGTTTATAGTGAAGACATATATTTTGAAATGACACCTTCACACACGACTTGAGTTTGAATAAACACTGGCTCTAGTAATTATACATTTTTTGTATCTTTATTTTGTTAACCTATGTGCTTTCTTATAAGCTAGATTCATTCAGTTTATTAGGCCACGGTCATACAACAAATTTTTTTATACAACTAATATGTATCTAGAGATATATGTGTATACTAGATAAGTCTCTTAAGCTCACCAAGGCTTACTTTATTTGAACAAAAATACAGTAAAAACAGTAATGTTGTGAAATTTTATTACAATTTAAAATAGCTGATTTCTTATTGAATATTGTCATATTATTCCTGTGATTTCAAAGCTGAATTTTCAGCATCATTACTCCAGTCTTACTCTTCAGTGTCACATGATCCTTCAGAAATCATTCTAATATGATGATTTGCTGCTCGAAAAACATTTCTTATTATTATCAATGTTGAAAACAGTTGTGCTGCTTACTGTTTTTTTGTGGAGATCGCGATACATTTTGTTTTTAAGGATTCATTGATGAATAGAAAGTTCAAAAGAAAAGCATTTATAAAATAGATACATTACAAGTTTTGTAACATTATAAATGACTCTACTGTCACTGATCAATTTAATGCATTAAAAAATCCCAAACTTTTGAACAGTAGTGTGTGTGTATATATAGGATAGTGTATAGTGTGAAAGAACCCAGAAGTGTGGCTGTCAATCTACATCGAAATACTCTTTGTGAGCTCCATATTCCGTTAATGTAATTTCAAGCTGATGAATGTGTCTCAATGAGTGTGTGTGCTGAGATGAATGTCTTGTCGTCCTCTGATGTGCTGCAGGTAGTGCTCTTGTTAAATGTGGGGAGACTGAGAAGCTGTTAGGCAGCGCAGAGAAAGAGTTCATTCACAGCTCCGCCATCAATTTCCTCACTCCTTTCAGGAACTTCATTGAGGGAGATTTTAAAACCATATCTGTGAGCATCAGCATACCATTGAACATACAGTACCTTTGACCACAATATATTACATTATACATTTTATCTTTTAAACCGTTTAATTTATCTGTTGTTGTGTTTTTTCTTTACAGAAAGAGCGCAAACTGCTTCAGAATAAGCGTCTAGATCTGGATGCAGCCAAAAACAGAATGAAGAAGGCCAGAGTGGCTGATGCTCGTTCTGCAGTTAGTATTTTACACACACACACAGAGAGAGAGAGAATGCTATAATAAACTGCTTTTTTCTTTAGTGGCATTTCTAGCTTAACCGAGATGAATTTTGAAGAGTGAAAGCTGTTTTTTCCTCTTTCCCACGCTAGCCGCCAGCTCTCTAATGCTCTTAGCGCAGTGTAACTAACAGAGGTGATGCTTGTGTTAAATGCCCTTTTGCGTGTGCGTGTCTTTGGATCTCTAACCTCTCTTATTTTCCACAGTTCTCTCTCATTATGT